TGAGTGATGAGGTTGCAGATGCAGATTGGAACCACCTCAACTCTGCCTTTGTAAATGTGGAGGAGAACCATACAGTGGCTGCAAAAATCACAAAACTTTTCTTCAGACATGGCGTTGGACATTCTGGGCTGCTGGAGAAACATGACAAAATTTTGTGCAGATATTTATGCAGACATTAGGGCTTTATATGGGTGGAGCGGGTGGTCCACCAATCGCGTGGTTGGCGGTTTGATCCCCTCCACAGTCGAAGTGTCTTTGGGCAAGACGCTGAACCAGAAGTTGCTCCCAATGGCAGGCAGCACCTTGCATGGCAGCTCTGTCACCATTAGTGTATGAATGTGTGTGTGAATGAGAAACATTTAGTAAAGCACTTTGGATAAAAGCGCTACATCAGTGCAGACCATTATTTGCAAAGCCATGAAGACATTTTTAATTTTAGGTGCAGATAATATTTTGTAATATCTCTGACCATAAAGCCTCTTAAATATAGTTCTTTAATGAGAACATGTCCAAATATTTAAGTATTGGACTACTGTCAGGCCATGTTTTTGTTATCAACAAATATTTGTGTTGTTATTTAGCTAGTTGTAGTACATTATAAAAGTTTTGTTTTTCTTTAATGGAATCCTGCAGCTGCATTAAAACGAGCCTATTCTGCTGACACTACAGCTATTGTTCACTAGTGGGCAGTGTGCACTACCACAAACCACATGAGGACTTGGTTACAGGCAGAAGTCATTGTATATATGACCCACTCATCATTTGAGTCACTTCATTAAACCTAATTTATTGATTAAGATGCGCAATGTGGTGTATTTTTTGTACTATTAAAACCACTAATATTCACTTTTTGCTGTTTTTATACATATTTTATACATGCATATTTTTTAATTATATTTGAATTTTCAGTGAAACAAACTTTCCTACACACACCAGAGCAGCTAACAGCACTCCAGCTCCTCCAACAACGTCCTGATGCTCAAACTCTTCCCCCTCCAGCGAGCATCAAACCTCCTTCAGCTCTGGATGCTGCGCTTTCCACGCCCCCCTAGCAGCCACTCAACACTCCGAGCTGTGGATGGGGAGCAGAGGAGGCGGCTTTTAAGACGTTTGCCTCTATTTGGAGTTGTCTGGATCACAGAAGTGTTTTTTTTTTTTTTCTTTCTCCTTCTCCTCTGCCTTCACTCACTCCGCAGCTCACTGGCGCGCTGCGTCCTCCCAGAGAGCCCTGAGCAGGATGGGTGCTCTCCCGACGCGCGGCATGTTCTGGTGGATGTGCGTTTTGTTCTTTGCAGGAATAACAGCAGTCTGCGGTGAGTTCTGCCCTCCTTATTTTTTTTCTCTCTCTGTGTGTGTTTTATCCATGTAGCCAAGGAAAACACGGCAATGTGGAGGAAAGAAAACTTTAAAATGATGTTCTTACATCTGGTGCTGGTAACGTGATGTCCGTTTGAGTGTGCCAGTGCCGCTTAATAACAGACAGAGAGATTTTTTATTGTTCTTTTTTTTATGTGCAAGTAAAGGAATTTAAAAGGATTTATTATGTACATACACTTGAGTATTTAATGTACACAACGGTGGAAGAAGTGGCTTAATCTACCTGTATCTGTGAAATAAATGTAAATATTTGTCTCCTTTCACTGATTTACTTAATTAAACACAACTTTGTTAATGCATTAATGAAATAACATCAGTTGTTGCTGCTCTTGAAGTGGAGCTAGTTGAACTAAATCAGGCTGAATGTAAAGTAACTCAGCACATTTACTCAAGTACTGTACTTTATTATTGTAATTTTATCATTTCTACTTTGACTCCACCAGATTTCGGAGAGAAAAATTGTACGTTTAAGTTATTTTCCAGCAGATTAGCACTTTAGAAACCCATGATGATGATCAGCTGTTGAATAAATTAAGCCACTGAATAACATATAACTTCAATCGGCTACAGTATTTAAGTTGCATCAGTGATAATAATCTAATAAAAAGAAACACAAGATCCCATTTTATATTTTATATTTCTATCGTTTGCTGATAATAGTTTCCTACTGTTGCTTAGATGAGGTTTGGAATTTAGGACTTTTGCTTGTATCTGAGTATTTTCAAAGTACTCACTACTTGTGCATCTGAATCCTTTTTCTACCACTGCAGTCATGTAGTGTTCCCCTCTTAGGGTTCAGGTCCCTCTGAGGGGCCACGGATCTGTCACACATAAATCTTCTGGGGTTGTAAGATGATTAATGGGACAGGAAAGTAGAAAGAAAAAAAAAACAAAGCTCTCGTGTATACATCTGTTTTCATTTTTGTAAAACATTGTACATTTTTATGCATTTGGGCCTTGAATGGGTTTTGAAATAATGAAATAAACCTTGTGAGAGTTTATGTATGACGTGACAAGACCTTCAAACAGAATTGGATTTTATAAGCTTGTTTTTAGTGTAAAATCTTAATGAGAAGAGTCACGGCAGCTGTCAGGGAACAGTAGTGAAGCAGTAAAACACAAAAAGCCTCAAAGCTTTACCAAAGTGCCGTACTTAGGTCCTTGAACTGGATGGACAGCTTCTCAGATGGGCTTCATTTGGCAAAATGTTGTGAATTTTAGGTTTGAAAATGTCCTTATACAAACTTTGTATGTGTTAAATGTATTTAATCTTCATCTTTTTCATAAAAACAAACTAAAATCCTGGTTTTAAGTCCAAAAATTACACTATTTTAAACACACAAAGTTATAAGAGACTCCTGGTACAGCACATCATCTGTTCCTCTATTATTTCTATTGTCTAGTTTTTGAGAAGTAATTCTTCTTCTTCTTCTTCTTCTTCTTCTTCTTCTTCTTCTCTTGGTTCCAGGTTCAAATGTTTGCACCTCCAGAGGAGCCAGCACATGTAAGCAGTGCCTGGCTGTCCACCCCAGCTGTGCCTGGTGCTTCCAAGAGGTGGGCTCCCTTTACGCTTCGCTTCATTTAGGCAATAGAGTTTTGTGCCAGGCGGGCTGGTGCAGGGTGGTACAGATCTCCTCACCAGCCAGCGATAATCTGGCTGAGAAGAACACTCTCTGAGGTGTTATTTAAAGTCACATCTACTCCTAGAGTCCTCGAACAATCCAGAATATTTGGATTTGGACTTGTGCACAAGCACATTAGAGCCACAGGAACGGTGCAGATGAAGGTTCTGGAGCTGCTTCGGTGACACTTGCAGCTGCTTATGTGACGGACATCCTGTGACTGCATCAGGATACGGTCATATTTTCTGGTTCGAACTCATGAGGGTAATGATTTAATGCTGTAAAACTCAGTCTGGGAGTCAACATTTTGACTTCTTCAGGATGACTTCATCATGAGGTCTTAAGAAGAACTGGTTGCACTAGTTGTTGCAGTAAGACGGACAGCTTCAGTTGAGGGGAAATCGAGTTTGTTTGAGTCATGTTAGAATTATTCTTCATCCCAGTAGACTTCTTTCACAGACATAATGTTAGGCTGTTTCTAGACTCTGAGCTCCCCATAACAATTTAGTCCTCATTACAGATTCATCTTATGTATCACCATCATTTCACAAATTAAAGTAAACCACAGAATGTTCCTGGAAGCTGTTTTTCCACTATAAAAGGAGCTCCCTCTTCTTTCAGGACTTCGGCCAGGGCGTTGCTGGCTCGTCCCGCTGTGACCTGAAGGCTAACCTGGTGGCAGCGGGCTGTGCTACGTCAGGTTTGGAGTCTCCGACCAGCAAACTGCAGGTGATCGAGGACCGGCCGCTCAGCAACAAGGCGGCGGGGGCGGCACAAGTGACTCAGATAAAGCCGCAGAAGCTACACATCACCCTCAGGCCAGGTGAGCCCCTCTGTGGTGACATGCTGTTTTGATTAAGAGAGGAGTTACACCGGAAATGAGGCCAGGATCTTGTTTCTTGCTCAGATCCAAGAGCAGCGTGAGCAGTGAATGAATGAAAAGACCAGTGACATCAAGCAGAACTCTCAATAACTGAACTCCATCATCTTCTTCTCTCCCTAGACGACGCTAAGCGCTTTACCGTGAAGGTGCGTCAGGTCGAGGACTACCCCGTCGACCTCTACTACCTCATGGATCTCTCCTACTCCATGAACGACGACCTCTTCCGCCTGAGGACGCTGGGCAGAGGCCTGGCCGAGGCCATGAACCGAACCACCAGCAACCTGCGCATGGGCTTCGGCGCGTTTGTGGACAAGCCCATCTCGCCGTACATGTACATCTCGCCCAAAGAGGCTGTGAAGAACCCCTGCTACAGGTAGGAGAAATAAAGTAAGAGGAGGTTGAACTGTCGTGAACTGTCCTCGCCCTGTTAGCAGCGTATTGCGCAACCACGTAGAATAACACAACAGAACATTACGTAAAGGTTCCTGCTTTTAATAATGCTGACTAGCAACAATTGAAATATTTGGGAAGGAATTAGAGGAAGTTCATTGTCACGGTTACCCTTTTTTTTAAGTGCCGTTTCCTCTTTATAGTTTAATATCAGTCTTGTTTGCATAGATTTAAGGATGTTTTACTGTAGAATGGAAGCCACTCCCTTTGTTTTTGGCCAGTTCTACCAGTAGAAGTTGCTCCTTGCTTGTATTTTAGCAACATATAAAATAACAACATATAACATAAACCAATGGAGAAGCAAATACGACATATTTAATGGAATAGTTTTGTGACCTTTGCTCTTTCGGTCTCTTGTTAGATTAAAGTGAACTTTTCCCAAAACTAATTCAAAAATATTCTAATAAAGTTGGTTTAGGACACAAGCGCCTCAACTCACTCCAAACTTCATCGTAATGGAAAAGTTTGTTTTAGTGGCAGCATTCTTACATTTAACAGTGTTTTACATTCCTAACGTGTGCCTACCGGTGTTGATTTCAGCGGCTGTTTATGTCTGCGTTTTGGGAAGTAGCTTCATTATGCAGATGATGTCATTTTGTGAGGACACCTTTAAACACAGCGTTGCTCGGTAATAACGCAGGCAGCCTCCGAGTCACAGCACTTGTTAAAGGCTCACAGTAGCTCCCAAGTGCTTGGTCAGCTGCTCTGAATCAGCCGCAGGTAATTTAGCCGGAGAGCGAGAGTGTCGCAATGCGAGCTGCTGTAGCTCCACCCGAAGGCTCCACCGAGGCTGATTTGGTGGTTCAGTGTCTCTTGGGGTCATTTACTTTTCCCGCCTACAGACTGTCTGCTGAGATCCAGCCTCCAGGAATGTTTGGATTAAAGATAAGACAAGTGAAGAATTTCAGTGTAGTAGTTTACAATAGAGAGAGAAGGAGGGGTCCACAGTGCAGAAAATCATTGTTGAATTAATGGTGAACAAAAGAAAAAACTCCTAAATGCAACAATTTCCCTGAGGTTTACACCGAAGTGATCAATAGAGTTTTATTCTATTCTATTCTTTTATTCTAAATGTGCTTTGAAATGAACTTTTAGAACAGTTTCATTTAGTTTATTGCATATGGCTCTGGGTATGGTAGAGTAAAAACAGTAAAAAAAAATACTCCATTATATGTAGAAGAATCCTATTTATGTAAAAGTGCACAAGTATAAAAGTAAAATGTAGTTAAAGTATCACAGTAAAAATATTGTTTTTTCACTGGATTAATAATATTAAAGCATCAGTGTGTCAGCAGCATGTTTTTGCTGCAGGTGGAGCTACTTTGAGCTACTTTATGTACAGTTTTATAAACACTTTTGTCATTAATCGCATGAGACATTTATTGAAATATAACCATGCGATATGTTAGAAGTATAAAGATCACATTGAGCAGAGCTGTTTCACCTCACAGACCTGTGAAATGTGACCCTGACTACACACTGCTGTATGTAAGGAGCCAAAGTGTTCACAAACCACCAGTTTAATCTTTGTCAGCATGTTATTTTTTAAAGCCTCTCATATTATCCAGTGTGTAAAAGTTTCATGTAAAGGTATCTGATCCTGGTATATCAGTGTAGTGGACTAGAAAATACAAGATCTTCCTTTTTGCGTGGAAGCATAGAGGAGCATGAATTGGGATTAAAAGCACTTCAACACTGTATGTAATTAGCACAATTGAGTAATTATACTTCCCACCACTGGAAGTTACTGAATGGATTGTGCTGAAATTTTGTGCAGACAATCGTCTCCTGAGTTTTGAACCCTGCTGACTTTTCCTGTCAGGGATGTCATTTGTGGTTTTGACTATAAAACTGAAGACTTTGCCATTAGTATCAATTGGATGTCGTGTTTAGCACTAATTAGCAACTGTTAGCTAAGTAAAGCTAATGCACGAGTGAAAGTGGTAGCACATGTGGTAAATGTTATCCCTGTAAAACATCAGCATTGTGATTGTGGAACTGTTGGTGGTGTCATTAGCTCAAAGAATTAGAGAACATCAAGCAGTGTCTAGGTTCATTTTTACTCACTGTGGGTTCATTTTTCACTGCGATATTAAGTCTTGCCCCTCTACGGAAACTGCACAACCATGGCTAGAAGTTGAGAGAATGTCTTTTGTGCAGTATAACACAGTTTTAATGGCATTAATCCCACAAATTATTATGTATGTGGGTGTAAACACAGCCTGCAGTTCAGCCAATTCAGTTGAATTTTGGTCATTTAATTATTGGTTGCAGCTAAGAATCTTTTTAGTCGTGCCGAAGACTGCATCCTTTTTTTCCTTTACAGAATCTAGTTAGTGCAAATGTTTTTTGTTTTGTTATGTTTTGTTTTTTTTGGCCTTTATTTAAATATGACATGATGAATAAAGCGATTTTGATCAAATATCATAACTTCAAGCTTAGATTTGATTAATTTTCCTGCCAAAACTGCATGCCACACGAGATTACTTCAAAGACTGTCGGAAAGTTAAAAATCTGCAGATTTTTCTTGTTTTTATGGTTTCTTGCTCTTAGAAATGGTGTAATTTTGGCGATTTTTTTTGTTTGTTTTTAAGGCTAGCATGCATTTCAAACCATTTTGGGGTTTTAAGGGGTTAACTGCTAAATTAAACATTTAATCTCTGTTTACTTGCCAGTATTAATACCACCTGCCTGCCTCAGTTCGGGTACAAACACGTTCTCTCTCTGACGGAGGAGGTGGGCCGCTTCACAGAGGAAGTGAAGAAGCAGATGGTGTCCAGAAACCGCGATGCCCCCGAGGGAGGCTTTGATGCCATCATCCAGGCTGCTGTGTGCAAGGTGAACCAACCGGCTGCACGTGCAAACACACACTCGCCCGTCTCTCACACACATATGATTTTGTTTTACATTCTTTTTCTCTTCTGTCACACACGTACACGCTCTAAAACTTTTCAGGATTTCCAGTAGAAGAAGTAGATGTTACAGACTGAACTCTCCTGCTTTGGATGAGTGTGCACCAAACTGGAAATGAAAATAAAATGAAATATTCCTAACCTTTTTTGGTTTAATGGGAACCAGGAGCAGATCGGCTGGCGTCCCGGTGCGTCCCACCTCCTCATCTTCACCTCAGACGCCAAGACTCATGTGGCTCTGGACGGTCGGCTGGCTGGGATCGTGCAACCCAACGACGGGCGGTGTCACCTCAACTCTGAGAACATGTACAGCATGTCCACCACCATGGTTAGTGGATGTCGTGAGAGAGAGAATATCAAATACTTTAAACATGCAGGCGCAAAAGAGGAAGTAATCATTTTTGTTGTTCTAACCACACTCTTCCCACAGGATTACCCATCTCTTGCTCTGATCACTGAAAAAATGTCAGAGAACAACATCAACCTCATCTTTGCAGTTACCAACCCCGTGGTTCCTCTGTACCAGGTCAGGATGCGTTCAAGTTCTCTTCTGACTTTACATGCAACACATTAAACAGTGTAGCGCAAAAAATACAAACAGATTTTCGAAGTACAACTGAGACGATGACTAATCCTACTTAGTCTCATCTTGAACATACGGGAGTGTTTTGACTAAAGTCCTCTCATTGGTTTTAAAGAGAGATTCTTGGATGTTGCATTGGAAGAAGAATGGAAACTCAAAAATAATCCCTTTTTACACAGACGCTGAAAGGTGCAAACTCAGTTTTTCCTACACTGGAAACACGACCAACTGTTGAGCTGGTATTAAATTTATAGTTGTGGCTGCTGGGTGGAAACGGTTGAACGCATATCAGACTGTTCTTAAAGGAAAACCAGTCAAGTGTTTGCGAACTGTGATGAGTTAGGGAGTGTAACACTTCTGCATTTTTGGGGCGTTTGCACATTCGCGTAACTATGTGATTGACAAACTCAACATCTGCATGTCTTAATACAACAGCTTAATAATATTTCCTGTCAAATGAGGGAAAGTTGATAACAATAGAAGGAGAGAGTCTTCTTCCTGAAGGGGTCGGGGACTGCAGCTTAAAGTTAAGGGCACTAAAGCTACCTGTTAAGAACGAGGACTGACACCAGAGGTATTCTTTGATTGTGGTAAAATTAAGCATCTTTGCAGTTTTTTTTTTCTTGGAAACTTGAAGGGTTTTTTTTGGGGGGTTGGGGTTTTTTTTAGTTTGTTGGAAAAGGGCCCACTTTGGACCTTTTATTAGGCGTCAGGCCGGGGTTTTCGATCTTTGTTCTTGGGGGGCCCTATTCTTGCATGTTTTGGTTTTTTCTTTTTTCCACCCCCCTTGTTTCTATTGTTCGGGTTGTTTTTCGGGTTTTTGCGGGGTTTGTTGTTGGGTTGTTCTTTTGATTCGGTTTTTTTGGCAGGGTGAAACATCTGAAACATGCAGGATTGCGGCCCTCGAGGACCAGAGTTCGACACCCCTGCCGTAAGACATCAAAGTTAATTTTTTAGTGTGATTTCAACTCACAAGAATGGAAAAATTATATACCCTGTTATTATTATTATTTCATTATCACCAAAAATGTTCTATATAATTAATTTATCTTGATATTTACTCGTGACATACACAATATGTTGGTGATGGAGGATACATTAGCGACTAATGATAATGATTGATTAACCCTCCTATTGTCTTTGGGATGAATCTGACCCCATTTAGTGTTAAACATCTCTAAATAAGTCATCATTTTCAGTTTTATTTAAAGGGTTATTTACACATAAACTTGGGTAAACACAGGTGGATCAGGTGGTAGAGCGGGTTGTCCTCCAGTGCAAGGTTGGTGGTTCGGTCCCCCACCCCCCCACAGTTAAAGTGTCCTCGGGCAAGACACTGAACCCAAAGTTGCTCCCAATGGCAGGCAGCACCTTGCATGGCAGCTCTGTCACCACTGGTGTATGAATGTGTGTGTAAATGGGTGAATGAGAAACACTTTGGGTAAAAGCATTATACAAGTGCAGACCATTTGCATAAACTTGGGTAGCAATTTCAATCATGATATTTTCTGGAGGTTTAAATCGCTGGAGTCAAATTGAACCCAAGCATAAAAGATGTCAGTAAATTCGAAGGTAACAGGAGGGTTAACATTCTCTCTGACTGCATGAGGTGACAACAGTCTTCCGTTCTTCTTGTAGAACTACAGTGAGCTGATTCCTGGCACCACAGTGGGAACGCTGTCCAACGACTCGGGCAACGTTATTCAGCTCATTCTGAAGGCCTACGCCGTAAGTGCAACAAACACACACACACACACACACACACACACACCCTCGACTAGACAGTGTTTTGAGAGGATGACATGTGTTTGTTGACACACACCCACAGCGTCTGAGTCATGCTCGCACTGGAGCCAAAGTCTTAGTCGAAATTCCGCCGTGGCTGAAGTGTGAAGTTTACCGAACGTAGGCGACTCCTGGCCGCGCTGCTTTATTTACACTGTTCATGACTTTATTATGCAGACGACAGGTGAATGAGCTGAAAACTGATTCTTAGTCTTTTGTGTTGTTTGTTCAGCTGCATGTAGTTATAATGTGCATACCTATATAGGCAGTTAAGAACCAGTGTTGTGGATAGAACCTGGAAGAAGGAAATTATTACAATATTAGATTTTCTTTGTCATTTTATACTTGCTTCCTGTAACAGAAAACAAAAATCACCTTCTTTGTTGATGTCTTGCTGTTTTCTTGTGTTGGTTTGGTTTAGAAAATCCGTTCCAAGGTGGAGCTGGAGCTTCAGGACGTTCCAGAGGAGCTGTCTCTGTCCTTTAACGCCACTTGCCTGAACGGAGAGCTCATCCCGGGCCTCAAATCCTGCTCCGGCCTCAAAATAGGAGATACGGTTAGTTAGGCTTCACGGCTGCGAGGCTGGCTTTAGTTAAGAGATTAGAGAAGAGACGTGGCAAAACATAAATTACATACATACACTTTTCCCCACATCAAACAGTGTTGTTGTGTGATTAACAAAATGGATTTTATGTCCAAAAACAATTGTTTTCTTGCTCCTTTTTTATCAGATTATCAGGCAAACGATATAAATGCTCATCAAGAAATATTTACTGGTGTTGTTTGATTGGATAAATCCCCCATTTTTCTTTTTTTTCTAAATCATATATTTTCACAGATTGCAGAAAAAAATACAATTAGTTTGGATATCAAACATCGAACACAGGCAGTGCTTTTATAAAGATAAAATTATTTAAAAGACACAATAGCCTAAATACTAAATACTAAACACTTTATATCGCAAAAAAAATCTACTTTTTTCCCACTGTTTCCTCAACACGTGTCCTTTTTAGGTTCTAGAAATACTATCAAGAGCTCGCTGCTGACCATAATAGCATCATGATTACAAAAATACCATGTCTGTTAGTTCCATATGCTATTCCTCACTGTCTATTTGGTATTTTTCCATTTCCCTTATTGCTGCTATCTACATGTCTGTAGAATTGGATTTCCCCCCCTTTTTTTTCTATGGCGTCTAAAAGCAGATGATGGAAAACAATGGATCAGAACCGTCTCTGAGTTTGTCTTTCATAGCTGACATTTTCTTAACATCCTTTTTTTCTGCCAACTCCATTCGACTTAATTGTCTTCTCTTTCTCTTTATCTCAGCTGCTTTGGCTCTTTTCCCTGGTTTCTCCTCACTCCAGGTGACATTTTCTGGCCTCCACACATTTCTTTCTCTCTGCCTCAGCTCCTCTTATTATTTCCATATATGGCTCTTTCTCAAGATGTAGTAACTGCCCACTTTTTGGACATTTACCAGATTTGGATGCAATGCTGAATGAACAAGTACTTTGACTAAACACATTTGGAGGCTTTCCCTTCTTTTGTGCTGTTTTCTCTGACGCTGATTAGACAAGGCAGAAAACTTGAGCAGTTATTAAATGAACATCAGTCTGGATGCAGAGTGTCTTTGCCAAAGTTTCATCCAGACTTTGTGACAGTTTCATCTCTCTCGTCCAGGTCTCCTTCAGCGTGGAGGCTCGTGCTCGCGGTTGCCCCAAACAAAAGAAAAAAACCTTTGTTATCAAACCCGTGGGCTTCAAAGACTCCCTCTCCATCACCGTCACCTTTGAGTGCGACTGCAAGTGCCAGGCCAAAGCTCAGCCCAACAGCCCCAAATGTAGCCAAGGCAACGGCACCTACGAGTGCGGCATCTGCCAGTGCTACCCGGGTCGCCTCGGGCCGCACTGCGAGTGTGCGGAGGGCGACTATAACCCCACAGAGCAGGACCGCTGCAGTGGGCCCGCAGGAACCGGAGGACCTCAGTCTGCGATCTGCAGCGGCCGCGGAGACTGCGTGTGCGGACAGTGCGTCTGCCACAGCAGCGACTTCGGGAAAGTTTGGGGGAAACTGTGCGAGTGTGACGACTTCAACTGCCTGCGCTACAAAGGAGAACTCTGCTCAGGTAAGGGTCAGGAGCTACAGTGAGAGTGAGGTTCAGTTTTCTTGTGTAATTAATGTGCTGAAGGAGTTTAGGCTAAAATAGTAGGCCCGAAGATGATTAATTGATTGAAAGAAGTTAAGGAATAGTTGTTCAAATGTTTTCTCAATTCTTGATTTTGTCCAAGATGTCTTCAAATGTCTTGTTTTGTTCAATCATCAGTCTAAAAAAATCAGTTTCGAATTGTATGAAGCACAAAATCTTCACATTGGAGAAGCAGGAACAAGAGAATTATAACATTTTAGTTAGTTAGTTAATTAGTTTTTAAGATCTCCATTAGCTGAAGCAAAGTCACAGCTGTTCTTCCTGGAGTCCAACAGAATTATATATACAAGAAAACAGAAAACATTATAAAAGTAAAACAAAAGCCAAGAGGGCTTTACACTTCCTCACATCTTCATATACACATTATGAGAAACTATGTCATATAACCTTGTGCATTATCCTTTCATTAGTTTAGTCCTTTGGTCTTACTAAGCGAGAATTTATTTTTTGATTATCAATTTATGGATTGTAGTTCTGGTAATCAGTCAACTCATTATCAAGCAAATGTGACCAATATAATGGATCCACTACTTTTCTATGGTGTATATCTGTACATTGAATATATTTGTGACTGAAGGTCAGATAAAACAAGGAATTAGAAAGCACAAGTTTGCGATTTTGCCAATTCTGATGTTTATTTCTAATGGTTTCTGGCTATAAACATCAAAGTTTCTGTACAAGATGTGATGAAATCCACTTTTTAACTTTATGAACCCCAAGAAGTTTTTTCTCCTCTCCCATTTTTATTAACTGTGGACTTTTTTTCCCTCTGCGATATAAAGTCCTGCACCTCCATTGAAAAGGCTCAACACTAGCTAGAAGCAGAGAGGACACAAAAATGTTCAATTTCTTGAATTATTTCAATTAAATGTTCAAAACCTGGACTTAACATGGACAGCATTTTTCCAGGTTTTCTCAGGTGTTACCCATGAAAATCCAAAAATGGTTGCTCTATGTTCTATGGATATATTACAACTTAGATTTTTGCAATACTTCATTTTTATACTCGTCTCTTATCTGCATTGTGTACACAGCCTGCAGTTCAACCGAAAAACCACAGAACTTTTGTCACAACTGTTGGTTGCAGCCGAGTCACCAGTGGCCTTCTGGTTGCACCAACTGGGATCACACATGTTGAATTTCATAAAATGAAGAGCAGCATGTATGTTTTCTAAATGACACAAGAAAGCAATGTTGATATAATACCACAACTGTTCTGGTTAAGTTTCCCAACAAAACGACACGTCACAAATGAGTAATTTCTGGATTTTTGTTGCAAAGTTAGAAATAAGATGATTCACAAGGTTTTATTTTTTTTCAGTCTCCGGCTTGATAAATGGTTTAATTTGGGGGATTTTTTTAGATGTTGTAACTTTGTAAAGTCATCATTGTGAGGTTGCCAGCTCCAGAAGTGCTCAGCACCAGCCAAAAAATAGTCCTACACGTATCCAACGTCTAGTTTTTTAATGCTAAGCTAACCTGTTGTTGCTGTAGCTTTGCATTCAGCAGACGGACATGAGGATGGTTTTGATTTTCTCAGCCAACTCTAGTTATTTCTTTGAAGTTTTCTTCACAAATGAGTAGCTTGTGGACTGTTGCAAGTTAGAAATAAGATGATTCACTGTCTTTTTTTTTATTTTTTACAGTCTCTGGCTTCATAAATGGTTTTATTTGGGGGATTTTTTAGATGTTGTAACTTTGTAAAGTCATCATTGTGAGGTTGCAGCCAAAAAATAGTCCTACACGTAGCCAACGTCTAGTTTTTTAATGCTAAGCTAACCTGTTGTTGCTGTAGCTTTGCATGTAGCAGACAGACACAAGGACGGTATTGATTTTCTCAGCCAACTATTCCTTAGACGTTGTTTTCACATCAAACACAACCCTGTATGAGAACAAGTAAAAGGTGAAAGAGGTTAACATAGCCCACTAATTCCATGAATATTGTGTACGCTTGTGGTAGAGTTTCAGAAAAAGCGTGTACCTTTGGGGATGTGGTTGGCAGTCCTTTTCACCACGCTGACTTGCCACCCACCTCATCTGGGAAGAATTAGGTACAATAACAACAGCTCTCCCCTCTGCCCGGGACATGGGCTCCATTCACAATAAACACATGGCGTGGTGTGTGTGCGCCATGTGTGAGTGGAAGCTCAGGTTGTGTGTTTGTGTCAGCCAAGCCAAGCTCTTGGACCGCCGAGGTCAAAAGGATTCGCGCACAAAAAACGTTTCCTCCAGTTTGATGTTAGTTTTCTCCGGTCAGATGGGACTGTGTAATTTCTGTACTGCGGTTGAGATTTTGAAACAGTGGGGATGAGTTTGCGTTCAGTAATCGTCAAGAGCTTTAACCCAGAACCTCACAATCCTCCTCCTCATTTAGTGTTTCAAAACAGACAGTATGTCATTGAGTCAAAACACATGATGGTACCCTGAGGATGTTGGTAATTGAGATCTTACGAATGACTTCTCCTTGTGGAATTTAGCTGTGCAAAGTGTTGCACTGCACAGAACAATGCTGCCACTTTGTTTGTTTTAATTACCAGCAGGCATTACAGGACAGGAACTTTCACCAAATTAGAGGTACATGTATATAAAAATGAGGATTCAGGATTGTTTATTTGCTGGAGAGTCAGTCAGTTTTTCTTCTCGGTGTCATTCAATATCTTGTAATTAGTTTTGGAATCAAAGTGATTCAAATCAAAAACATCGTTTGACAATTTGGCAGCAATTTACAGCTTTCTGGCCCAGAGTCTGAGGAGATCAGTACCACACTCGTCAGTTCAAACTCTGTTTCAGGCGACAGAAATAACAAATATATCTATAGAATCACATATTAACAAACTAAACATTAACAACATCAAATATTAGCCTCTATAAAAACAGCACAAGCATGACCAGAAGTAGAGAGAACAAAAAATAATGTCTTTTTTGTTCAATATAACAAGTTAGAATGCTACAAATTCAAAAAGAAAGTTGATTTTTGTTTATTTTATTTTTTTATTAAAGAACAAAGAAAAGCTGAATCAGCATGTACAACAATTTTCTAAGTGTCCACATGTGGTACCATTACTGGAAAAAAAGTGGGCTTAGTATGCTATATATAGTCGACTTTTTAAATTTTGACTACCTTTACAAACAAAGCACTTTTTCTCATTACTCTGCATTCTGCAAAACTCCAAAGCGATATTTCACCATGCTGAATGTATCGTCCAACAACTTGCTCCTCCTTTTACCGTTCTGGAGTCATGCTGTATTCATTTGTTTGCTCAAGTATGTTTTATTTTGATCTCATTCCCTCTAATTTGTGTCCATAGTTTAAGCTCTGTGCAAACACAGCCTGCAGTTCAGCCAAATAGTCTCTGAAATGATGTCACATGACTGTTGAGTTGAGGTGCTCATGGTTTGTCAGTTTTGCAGAAAAGCGAATTCAGTGCAAATGTTTTTTTTGGGGGGGAATTTCTAAGTGAGATATGTAGAACTACAGCTTTAAACTCAAGCCTTGTCCACACGTAGCAGGGTTTTTGTAAAACCGAATATCCTCCCCCCTCCGTCTAGAAAAAACTAACGTACACACCATCTCGTTTTTAGAAAAATAATTCATCCACATCTAACCGCATGAGTGCGTTGTTAAGCACGTTCATGTTCTACATGAGGATGTAATAACTCCAACGACAGGAGTGATGACCGGGACATACAGAAATTGTCACGCCATTCCTCCAAGAGCACGATTTTAAAGTTCTCCCACCAGCTGGCAGTGTGTCCCGGTCTGACCCAAAACCAGCGTTGGTGTCTTTGACGGAGAACAAGCCTCAGACGTGGAATGGCAAGGTGGCGGAAAATAACCGTCCTTAACGCCGTCCTACTGTCATGTTCTTGTACGTGGAGCGGTATCTGGGCCTGGACCAGAGACAACACCAACACAGTTCTGAGGGCGTCCACGCTGTTTCCAAATGTAAACACAGGTCGCATATGTGATGTAAAGAACTTATTTAGTCGCAGGCAGTGATGTTTCAAAACCTAAATGTAGACGCATAAACGGAGGACTCGCAAATCTTCACTTTGGTCGGAGGTTTTTGAAAGAATCGTTTTTGATGTCGTAAATCTGCGTTTTCGTGTGGATGACAGGCCACATCGTAGAGAAATATCCTCATTTTGTAAGATACCCTGCTACGTGTGGACAAGGCCTTAGATTTGGTTAATTTATTCTGATGGAACTGCATGTCACTGATGATGACTTAAAGGATTGTCAGGAAGATGAATATCCAGCGACTCTTTCAGTTTTACAGTTTCTAGCTCAAGCAAATCGTATAATTTTGGTGAGTTCTGAAAAGACAACACGCCTTTCAAACCTACTGGCAGGATTTGTGGTTCAGAGGGTTGAAGGAGCTACAAACTGGTTGCATCTGCTTTCATTTGGTAACGAACCATTACAAACATGTAACACAACAAAAGCTTTTCTTATTCTGCCTGCACTGCATGGACCATGCTTGGCTTAGCATGCAGAGCAGGAAGAAAGCAGCCAGTCAGCGTCTGTCCAAAAGCCCCAAATGCACCTGCCAACACATGTAAAGATCACTTATTAACATGGTTTTCCTTCTTTGTTTAATCCGTGCAAAACCAACAACTGTGAGCATAGCCAGAGTCTTAAGGTGAGTTAATCTAATCCAGACCTCATCCCTACCTAAGAGTCAGACCCAAACGTGGTGCCATTCTTCAAATTTAACTCTCAAAACGAAGCTGGATAAATATTTCCCTTATTGCTGAACTATTTTACTAAACATTAAAATGTCAGAGCCGGGTTAAGAATCACATTCATGGAGTCACATTTTTACAAGCCTCCTGTTGAGATTGCTCCACTTCATTTAGGAAATTCCTCATTATTACATATTTACAACAGGTATTGAGTTTGCTTTGGGAATATTTTAATTGCTAATTGCATAATGCCATGTTTTGGCAGTCGACTGTTTTCCTGCCTTCATTACATCATCACATCTCGTATATCACTCAGCCTCCCCTCTCGCCGCTCTCACTCAGAAATGTTTTGCTGTACTCCCCAAAGCCCATAGCGTAACATGAAAATGCCTTTCTCCTTACTCATTGGCTGTTGTGGTCTAATGAGGCTAAAAATAAACCCATTTTTGGTCAGAAAAGGGCCAAGTGGAAGAGTTTGGGAAGTGTTCTGGGAGTATGTGTGCGCAGAACACGGCCTGCTGTTGTCTTGAAATACCTTATTCAGAGTGAGGGCCATTCTTCCTCGGCCACAGACGGGTCTAATTAAAAGCCAGCGGTCCTGTGGTCAAGTGATAATGACAGTTTGTTCACGGATCATCCTTTATCCAGTCAGACTATCCCGAGCAGCTTCCTGTCTCATTGTTTATCAGGGCATTGTTTTTTTGCGGCGACGCGCCACAGTGTTTTCTGCACTGTCACTCTTTGTGGCGCTCGCACGCAATTACACAGATACACGAGGAATAACAACAAGCCAGTGTGCACAAATTCCCTCACACATGCGCTTGAATCACGCTGCCAAAAATAAAAGCGCTGCAGACACCACAAAGCACACAATGAAACAGGCTACGGCAGTTTGTGAAACATTACTAACCACTTCTGCTTTCCAGTGTTTCCAGTCTTCTGTCCAAAACTTCAGTCGTACAAAACCGCTAAATGTCCCGAAGAAAATACCGCTCGCTGTTCCTACTGAAACATTAGACCGTAACACTTGGAATTAATGTAAGCACATTGTTACTATTACCGTGTAATGCTTGACTTTAACAAGGACAGCATGTTTGAATATGTGAGCGCTGAAGCCTCGGAGCTTCGAGGCCCACGAGCAGGTTTGAACAGCACGTGATTTTTTAAAAATAACCACCAAGATGACATCATTTATCAGAGCCATAAAGCTAAAAGAACCGAAACAATTGGAGTAATTTCAACTTTTACTCTGTCCTTGAACTACTCATCTGGGAAAACTTAACTAAATCTAAGCTCAGAGTTTTTGTTTTATTGTCGAAATCACTTCATTCTACATGTTGATTTAAGAAAATACTAAAAATCAATCATTTTAACGGACCAGATTCTTAAAAAAAAAAAGAAAAAAAAAGAACGTTATCCATGACCTTGCAGTGACAAAAATGCTGTGATTTTTCAGTTGAACTGCAGGCCGTGTTTTTACACAATAGAGATGGGAGACAATTATCATAACATAATGAATGTGTAAGTAGTAAAACATCTATAGCATGTGGAGCCGCCCTTTTTCATTTTTTAGTTGTGGACACATTGAAAAATGCTGTACATAATGATTAGGTTTTTTTTTTTTTCAATTTTTACGAAATAATAATTCAATTCAATTCAGTTCAATTCAATTCAAATAACTTTGTTTATCCCCTAGGGCAGGGGTGTCCAATCCTGGTCCTCAAGGGTCACAATCCTGCATGTTTTAGATGTCTCCCTCTTCCAACACACCTGATTCAAATGATCAGATCATCATCAAGCTCTGCAGAAGCCTGATAACGATCCTGATCATTTGAATCAGCTGTGTAAAACATGCAGGATTGTGGCCCTCGAGGACTACGATTGGACACCCCTGCCCTAGGGGCAATTCAAAAGCTCACTGAGTATTTAAAATAAAGACAGAAAAAAAAACTGGAAAAAAAAAGGAAATTAATAATTAAATTAGTTTCTTTATATATTTTTTTTTTATAATTGCTGTTAGTATAAATTTGTCATACTGAAACAAAATACATTCTTGAGTGCTGTTTCCATGTTCGTACAAGACTTCTTACTGCAGTGAAAAATGAACTCACAGTGAATTTAACTGTAACAAAGACTTCCCACGAACCACTTGGGGTTCAGACGGTTAAAAGCAAAGTAGAGGAAAACACAGACGAGGGTGACACCAGCTTGTGGCTCTCTCAGTCATAACCACTTAACAAGCAGCGGTCAGTCACTACAAAGTCATGCTGACCACTCAAACATGGTTCAGACCCACTTAACTTTATTTAAAGTCTGGTGAAGTCCCAAAACATTTTTCAAAGATTCTCCGTGTGTAATAACACCAAGTCTTGAGATCAAATGTTTCAATCAAGCCTACGCTGAATTTTGTAGAAAATAGCGTGGAATAAGGTTATTTCAACAACCGAGCTACTTGAAGGGGTTAGAACAGGAGTGATGAGGGGTCCACACTTGCTTATCACACTATAAGAAACAAATATGAACTTATATCGACATAGCATACTTAAGCTATTTAAAACAAATAGTAAGTAATGAAAATTTCTCCTGTCGCGTTATTTGTTCTCTTCATGTTTCACCATTTTTCTTCACATGTCGCAATTCCTTTCAAAGAAAAATAAGCTATAATAATAATGTATGCTGCAGTGATGCACGATATTAAAATTTCAGGCCGATACCGATATCCGATATTAAGATTTCTGATATTGCGATAACCGATATTACCAATGTTGATATTTAATTTTTGTTCGCATTGAAAAATGAGTATAAGTGAGCACTGTGAGAACGTGAAACTATTCAAAAGAAGCTCATACTAAAATTAGACCACATAGTCTTCTTTATTGGATAACAAAAGTAAAACATTTAAACATATTTTAACATATTTAGTGTTCAAGTCCAGGACCATTTAAATAAAAACATCTGTGAAATAGCAAAACGTAGCATCATACATAGAGACGAAGTTAGACAATCATCAGCTTTTCACATCAGCTAAATTTGTTCATCAGACCAATATCGATATATCGGAAAAAACACTAATATCGGCCGATACCGATGTGGTCGTCGATATATCGTGCATCCCCAATATGCTGTTTTAACTTTGTCAAGTAAATGTTAACGTGGTCTTTTTTCCGTTACAGGTCACGGTGTGTGTAACTGTGGCTTCTGCCAGTGTGCACCAGACTGGCAGGGTGAGAACTGTAACTGCTCCAGGCGGACCGACACCTGCATGTCCAACCTGGGCCTGCTGTGCAGTGGCAGAGGCCAGTGCATCTGCGGGGCCTGTGAGTGCACACAGCCAGGAGCCTACGGGGCAACATGCGACAAATGCCCCACCTGCCCCGACGCCTGCACCATGAAGAAGTGAGTCTGCAAACACATGAGGTTTTGTGCAGAGTTGTTCAATCCCGTGTCCGGAAGGTTGTTTGAAATGATTCGATTCCCTCGTTGGTGTGTTTTAGGGAGTGTGTCGAGTGTAAGCACTTCAAGAGGGGCAGGCTGTTTGAGGACAACACCTGCTCTCGCATCTGCAAGGATGAGATCGTGCTTGTGGATGACTTAGGTGAGACACCCAGCTGACCAACACTACAAGACTTTGAATGTTGGAGGCAACTTCTAATAAGGCAAAGTTGCATCCATTGGTACTATTAATGGTGAATAATAATTCCCTCAGGCTTAAAGGTGCTGAGGATTTCTGAGACGATATTAATGAAAACAAGTTGGATTGCCTGACTGTGGAAAAGCACCATCAGCTATATGATTTTTCCAATGTGGCCAAAAAAAATCCGGTAATAATGATTAATAAACAATTTCAATCAGCCATTATTTACAAAAAAAAAGTCATGAATAAAAGCCAACATCATCCAGGCTGAAGTTAAAGTTGTTGAAGAGTTGGAAGAATCCATTTGAGGGATGATTTTAACGCAATCCTGGGGGATTTTTGCTCAGCAGTGGTAAATGCTAAAGAAGTGTGAAGTCTGTAAATTTCTTGGTTACATAGCAATATCTACTCGAAGTCTGCTGTAACTTTAGCCACCATAAACTACTGCTTATACCCACAGACTGTCTGCTTCGTGGATGACTGTGTTGAGTTTGTAATTTGGCCTTTGCCATCTTGGTGTTTTGAAACCACTTGTATCAAGAGAGGAGTGGATCTGACTGAGAACTCGAGGACAGGAGCCCATACAACTCATCCTAGAACATATCTCGCCTTATCGTCTGTTTTACTGTACGTGGGACCATAATTTATTAAATTTACACCATGCCGTACTGACAGAGAACTGAAACGAGCAGTTGAGGCCATAAAGTCATTCAGAACTTTCTTCTGAGGTAAAAAATGAAGGAAGAAGTAGAGTTATTTTTTCATTAACTTCTATACAATCAGACTTCTGTTTGCAATCAGAGGAGTCGCCCCCTGCTGGCCATTAGAAAGAATGCAGGTTTGCCTTGGCTTTACTTTTCAGGCTTGAAAGCTACGTCTATCAGTCTATGGTCGTACCAAGCCATGGTGTTTAAAATCTGAAAGTAAATTCATGAAGTTTGCAAAATTTGCTTGAAAGCAGGCTTTAAAAGAATTATAAACGTTTAGATGTTTGAAACAAGACAAAAAAATCTATGATTTTATCAACAAAAACAAGGGACTAGATATGCATCATGACTAACTGATGAACCATTTCCTCTTCATTGTTCACACAGAGTTCCACGACACAAATGCTGTGAACTGCACCTACAAAGACGAAGACGACTGCGTGGAGCGTTTCCAGTACTATGAGGACGCCAGTGGCAAATCCATCCTGTTTGTTGTCAAAGAACCAGGTGAGAGAGATCCATCCGACCCAACACTTATTCAGTCATATTTTTATATTTGCTTATAGATCAAGTGAGTACATATAACATGAAAGAGATCACGTGCAGCAACAAATTTACAGAGGATTGCACCCAAATCAGCTCTTCAGTGTTGTTTTTGGTTTAAACATTTTTTTCAGCTAATAAAACAAGTTTGTACTGCTGACACAGAACCAGAACAAACAAGGACTTAATGCTGGTGATCATAGTGAAGCATTTAGTAGCTATGGAGCCAGCTATCTCAAGAATCAATGGAAACCAAATTAAGAATTAATATTAGAGGGGCACCACTATAGCTCACCCGGTTGAGCTGGTGTCCCACGTACAGGGGCTGTAGTCCCCAACGTGGAGGTCATAAGTTCGAATCCCACTCATGGCCCTTTTCTGCATGTCATACCCCCATTCTTCTCCCCCACTTTCCTGTCTCTCTCTCTACCACACTGTCAAATAAAGGCAAAAAGGCCACACACAAAAAAGAGTGAACATCAGACTTAACTATGTTCCGGGGCTAGAAAACAACTCCACACGAAGGCTAATGTTGTCCCGTTACTGGTTGATTGCAAACCTGTTACCCATAATGACTTTATAAGGTGGTGATGTGTCATAGTTGTGTTTACAATTTGTCCTAAAGAGGCTAAAAAAATCTGTTATTTCTGCTGTAATGACAATATAGTTCGGAACACACAAGGAGGAGTTGTAATAACAGATGTAGTTAATGGAAGTGTTGAACACATGACACGAATAAATCAATAACCACCAATGCATCACCATCACCTGTGAAATTTGTGGCACATTTCCTTTGAAACTTGTGTTTCACTTCCCCCAAGAACAAGTTGTCACTTCCCTAGCTGCCTGCTCTTCATCTGCTCGTTAAGTGGCCGAACAGAAAGAGCGTTGGGCGGTAAAACAGCCTTTAATGGCCAAGATTGCCCGCAGAGAAAGTCTGTCCTTGGGCTTCCTTTAATGAATGTGTGTGTTTAATTTAGGCACAACTGGGTATCAGAGACGTACACCACAATTTGCCTTGAACACGGTGCACCCTGCCGTGTCAAAGAGGGTTGTAAACAGCTGCCCAGCTCCTCTAGAAACCCGCTGACTCTACATATCCTCAATAGGGGAAGGCAGGAGAGGGAGAGCGAGGAGACTAAGTAAGCAAAAGAAAGGCAAGGAACGATTTGTTGGGGAAAAAATAAAACCATAAAGCTGTGTTATGCAAGAGAAGAGATGGAGCCAAGATGGGGAACATTCACCCCTTTAAAGTTGACCAGGCATTTTTCTTATTTAGAAGTTAATCAATCGTGTTGAGGACATAATCTTGGACCTGGTATGGTTCATATATGAGCAGTAAAGGTCGGGGTTAAAAGGATCAAAAGGGTCAGCTGAGGAGCAGGAAATAGAGGCGAGCACGAAAGAGAGAGAGAGGAAGAGGAGAGGAGCTTTGATGTTGGCTGTAAAAAGTTCACCTCACTTGGTTACCAAACACCACCGTCCACATGCATATGAGCACGCAATCGCACGCTCAGACAATGGTTAGATACAGTGACGCACATTCGCTCCTGCAAACAAACAAATGACTGTTAGCTGGAAGTCACTGATACAATCAGATAATCAGGTGACTACTTGTGAAGTTGGTTGCTCATCATGACAACCCCGCAGACCGTGATCGTCTGATGCTGCGGTTCTTCTCAGCCTTATGGCATTGTTTGGCTCACTTGGTTTTCTAATTTTACCGTCTGCGTTCACACTTGCTGCTTTCATGTCTGTTACAGCCAAAGAATGTTTTTTGTGGTAAAAACACCCAAACAGGGTTGAACAATTAATCATTTTTCAAGCTGTGTTTTAGCAGATTCCAACAACTGCAATTTAGGTCACAGTTAATGCAACGTGTCTGACCCAGTGTTTAAACTGTTGTGTCAAAGGTATCACAGATTCCTGCCGACCTCCTTGTGTGACACTTGGACGGTAATGCTCCATCATATGTTTTCAGTCTTTTACACAGTGAATAGTAACAGACTCCAGAATCAAATCGTACTGGACAGTTTCCTCAAATCTTTCAGTCCTATATCCATAGCTACCTCAAATGGCAAGTCAGCGACTCACAGGAAAACATTGTCAAGCATTTAGCAGCTGAAAAGCCAGAGACTTCTAACAGGTGTTGGTAGGGACCCAATATTGGACTTCGATCCATCAGGTGGCCAAAATGATGACTCCAAATGTTTTTTAGTGTTGCTCCGTGTCTTCTGTGTCTCCATCTGCAAACTTAAAAGCCTCTTTCTGCTGCCAACGAGTGACCAGATATCAGTTGCTGCACGTTTATTCAAGTTAGAAACAGTCAATACTCAGTTAAACTGCTTTATTGGGGCTGTGTAGGCGTTGTTTGATCAGATTTAATTGAGTTCTGGTAATGTTAGCAAACGACCTCCCAGCGGTCATCACATCTTGATTAGAACACTTCTAAACTCTGACTGGACATTCAGCTTTTCCCACTTAGTTCTGCTCGCTTCAAAAGAGGAAGAAGACCACAGACAAAACCGACAATCTCTCATCTGAAATGGCACAAATTGTCCGAAGTTTTGTAAGATGCTGACTGAGAAAAAAAGATTTTCAGGGTTTCTCGGGAGCCATAATTTAAAACCTTGACTTGCGTTCTCTTTGCCTCAAAAGGTTGGCTTCATGTCCCTGTTGAAGTTTTTGTAACAAGACTGTAGTTGGGGAAAGGGGGAAAAAAGCCCTTGGAGAGCCAATTAAACCAAGAAAAACTAGAGGTCAAATCAATCAGTGAAGTACAGGGAGTGTTGAGATGATGACTCGTTTCCTCCTGCGAGCGACTTCTGTTGTAGGCGTAAAATGAAGAATGACTCGGCGGCGCTCGGCCCATTGCTTCCCGTCGGCTTACCCAGAAACATATTTTGGTGGAGAAAGTTTTCCGGAACGGCTAATGATGGGAAAAATGACCCAGGAGAGCACAACAAGTCTTATTCCATTCCGGTGATGGAACCGTTCATGTTAATGACTCTTTAAAAGAGAGTTCTGTCAGTCATGTAGCCTGTGCAAATCAGATGCCTGTTGAGTTTTGCCAAGACCGCAACGAGGGGAGAGAGATTTGTGGCCTGGCTGTAAGAGGTTACTATTTTCCACTTCAGCCCATCCTCCTGTCTGCTCTTTGGTATTTAACAGTCTGTTCAGCGCTGTTTTCTATCGCTTTCTCAGATCTGATCACCATTGGTAAGCATCTGTCCACACAATTCAGCCACTTGTTGACAACAACCATTCTGAATCCAGTTGCAGCAAATGCGACTTTAAATCCATGTGACCAAAGGGAAAAGGCAGGGAGGAAACTGGGTTATGAAATCAGTGGCTTATCTTCCTCTGTGTGCCCGCTGTGTGCTCACTCCTTTATCTCCTTCCTCCTTCCACTCAGACTGCCCCAAGGGTCCAGACATTTTGGTGGTGCTTCTGTCGGTGGCAGGAGCCATCTTGTTCCTGGGCCTGGCTGCTCTGCTTATCTGGAAGCTGCTGGTTACCATCCATGACAGGCGGGAGTTTGCCAAATTTGAGGAAGAACGTGCTCGCGCCAAGTGGGACACGGTGGGTGGATTTAGCATGACGTGGCATGAAAGTGCCCGGAAATTGTGTATTTTGGAAACTGCAAGTGTGTTGATTTTTTTAATAATAAGATAAAAAGAAATGACTAGTCAGCATTTAATTGGACAAAAAAAAAACACCTGGAAATCTTCTTATATACGCTTTGCACACACTCAGATACACAAACACACACACACACACATACACACACACAACAGGCCACACACGCAGACTCTCGCTCCCGTTTTCTGAAGATGGTTTTTATTATTTTTGTGGCGTGCTGTTCCTCCCTGCAGAACAAAAAGCAGTGAACGGAAGGGCTGGGTTTAAATTAGCTAATCAGCCTTTACTGGTAATGGGCCTCTTTTTGTGGCCTCAAAAAACACACCCAAATCCCACAGATCTCAAACCACAAAGAACCACAGCAGGTTTAAGATGTTCACCGAGGAGGGGAAGTGAAAACAGAAGCCACACGTTCAGTGTTATATGTCTGACATGCAAGGAAACTCTCCAGAAACAAATGGATTGGTGATGAAACTGAATGGGAATTATAGGTGTTTACTTACCTTTATTGACTAGATGCCTTTAAAGTGCCTATTTTTTTAAACTCATTTTCTATCTATGAAACTCACCTTAACTTCTCTTTGTGTGTATTCACCCAACAGGGACACAATCCTCTTTACAAAGGAGCCACATCTACCTTCACAAACATCACATACAGAGGAAAAGACTGATGCTACTGAACAAAGACCAAAGGATGAAACAATGGACTTTTTTAGTCGTCCTTTGCGAGAAAGGCAACGAATCATGTGCAGGCTTCTACTGTCACAAGACAATAATGAATAATTATTTGTTTGTAAATATGTAGAAATGATTCCGAGGACACATTTTATCAGGGATTTTGTCATAAACGCCCACCAATACTACACTGATAAATACTGTTTTGTGTGATTGACTGAGATTTGTTGAGAATAAAAGTTTGGTTCACCCCGATTGTCTGCATCACCACAGTATTTATCTTTGCCGGAGTATCTGCCTCATGCATTGACAATCACTAAAATCCTACAAGATGGGGATTGTGTGAGCATAAATAGATATGTTTTGGGATTTCAAATATCTACTCCTGAGACTTTACCTTCCCCGTGCAATGATCGAAAAATGCAATTCATCTGTTCACAACATGCAGAAATTGCATTTTCTTCCCAGTTACCCCAGGAGTACCTTCAGACGTTGCCAGTATTGACAGTCTACATTATTTCTGACCGCTAGTGGAAAATACTGGCAGCGAGACAAACATTTCCTTGGCGAGTAAAAACCAAAACTATCCCCGAGACTGTATACCGCTGAGGCCGAGTCGGAAAATATACATATAGAAAAGAATGGATGTGTGTGGACTGATCCTTCAGGTCAGTGGAGGAACTGAAGGCCAGATAATGTTACACAGAACAAGCTTCATTTCCTGATCACAATGTTGGGATTTCCTGTTTGTGGAGCCCAGTGGGACTGCAGTGAGATAAAACCGTCCTTACTTCAGTTATGACGTTCTGAAAACGTGATGTGATTTATAGGCTAAACTGTTAATGTACTGAAAACTTGTGTGCTGTTCCATAATGAATATTTTAAGATAATAGTTTTAGACACATCTGATTGCAAATGATGGGAAACTAGAGCAGCATATTTATTGTTTTTTGATATAATAAGCAAATGATTATTGTCTTTAAAGGTACAACAGTGACTAATTTATGCTGTGTTTTTGTTTTAAAATGTTGAAAAATGAAATTGAACGTCTCTCCATGAAACTAAATAACAAACTCAGACAATCAGAGATCTGGTTTCCTTCCATGTGTATTGTTTAATAAGCTATTATCATAACTTGCTCACATTTTCTGTAACAGTTTGCTGCCTGCTCAGGATGCACAGCTTCATCTGCTCACATCAATGCATGAGCACAAATGGTTGGGTTTGTACTTGAAGAAGTTTCATATTCAAATTGAATTATACCAGAATACACACAGCAATGCAGGAACAAACAAAAGAACCACATAGAAATGTAACCCACTTGAAGTGATGACTAACATGTGGCTACTAACTTACTGCAGAGCTTTTTCAGTGCTATTCACTTCTTCCATCTTCTGGACTTCAACTGTAAGTGCAGCCTGCTGGTCTTTGAGTGTACTTCACCTTCTCAAAACAGCACAAATGACACCCCATGAAATACACCAGATGAGCCATTCCAGGTGAATTACACTCTTCGCATGGGGCAGTGTAATTACAGTTTGAAGTGGAAGAGGTCAAAACTGATGAGTAATGATGGATGACTTGACTGCATGAAGCCTGATTTAGATCACTATCAAGAAATAAGCAAGTCATGAGGAGTTTATGTGACTGGATTTGTTAAGCTTAAAGCATCGTCAGTCATAGAACGCTAGAATAACTCACATACGGGCTGCATACATTAACCTATATGGCAGCAAATTAGCTGAGGTTTTCCATGGTGTCTTTAATCATCACCTCAGGTTTAAAAGATAAATCCTGCTGATTTATGAGTTGAATCTCTGAGCTCTCCTAGTGTTCATGTGTGAGGGCGACTATCTTCCCTGTGAGGCTACGCGGCTCGACTATAAGCAAGAAAATCTCATTTAAAAAAAAAAAAATGAAGCCACAGATGACAAGAGAAAGGTGAGGATGCTAGCATGTCAGCTAGGGCTGTAGCCAGGAACAGAAATGTCCACAACTTAACTTAATTTAACTTAGTTCAACTTAGCTTAGCTTAACTTAACTTAACTTAACTTAACTTAACTTTATTGTCCCCTGAGGGAAATTTGCTCTGCATCCAGGCTACCATTTGATAAAAAATCATTCCAAACAGCTCTGGATAGACATGTCTGACCCCGTGATCTGGTGTCCCAAAATAATCCTCCAACTTTGTCAAACCTTTCAGGAAGAGTGAGACGACATTCCGCACGCCAGCGTTGACAACTTCATTAAATTTATGTGCTGCACATGTATGTCTGACTTTTTATTTCTGGTCCGTGACCCAACTCTCAGTCTGTCCATTATCATTTCCAATACAAAGCATACTTGGTTGTTTCATGACATTAGAACAAGAAGAATTTATTCAGCGATGTTAAAAAGAATGGATACATTTTTTTTTTAATTATTACATGCTGGGGCTATGTTTTTGTTGAGCATATTTCATTTGTTTAAATCTGATCTAAACGTATGTTAGAGCTCATTGTCAGAAGGTTTGAGTTCACCCTCAGAAACAGTGACCTCTAGTGGCACGCAGCCTACATGAACCACATAGTTAAAACTGCAGCTCAAAGGGCAGCGAAGTTGATGAAAGTACACCAGCCCATCACTGTTGACCCAGACAGGGGTTTTTAACTTGCTGATAAAATTAATTACTTCCTGGGAGTTAACGAGCTGTGGATTGCTGACTCTCTGTCCTGACAACCATGTTCTGTTTATTCTGTTAGACTGAGACAATTTAATCCATAAAGCTCTTTTCTGACTACAGTGACTTCAACAAACTTCACCAAAGTATAACCCAAGAACAAATCTCATTAATGGTCATAATCATCATATATTTACTGCATTTTCAGATTTATTATGTGTCGAATAAAAACAATTAACTGTGACAACTCATATGCAAATGAATGTCTGTAGGAACTCTAAATAAATGTGACGGCTCATCGTGCCATTGATTCAGAATGGGAAATAGAGTTGTAATATGAAGAAAAATATGGAGTTGTCATGAAAAGGCCCATTTTTGAGTCATTAATGTAAAAAAATAATGATAAAGCAAAAGTCAACTAGTGATATTTTCTGAACCATGTACCAAAAAAAATGCATATCATGATAAAAAATAAAAAAAAAACTATGGCATACTTTCTAAATGAAATACTTGGTCACAGAAATATAAAAGAAAGTTCTTTTTTTTATGTTGATTTATTAGGCAGGTATGACAAGCTGACAACTGTTTTTCTTTTACATTTTGGAATATTTTTCATTTTCAGACCCCACTTTGCAAACTAGAAAAACAATGAACTGTTACCTTATTATCCTCACTGAATTCATTTACTTATTGGAAGAGATCCATGAACTCTTAAGGAGTTACTGTAAATACACAAGTGCAGCTTGTGGATTTGGTTTTAAAGGCCAAATTTATTCCATGTGTAACACAAAGCAAGCGATCCTACCAAACCATTTCCACAGTCATCATGAAAATACATTTACCACTAAAGTCTTGCATACATCAGAACATCCGATTAAAATTAAAGACATACAAGTTTCTCACTAGAAAAATCCCACTATCTAACAGATTTGTTCATGGTTGTACTATGCTGATGTCATCCTAATTTAAACTTAATTACCATGTTAAAATATATGTGTTCTAAGTTTGTTTAAATTTAGAGAGCCATTTTGACAATGCACAACTCTGTTCTAAATGAATATTTTTTTGTTTTTGTAATACAACTGGTCATATCTGCATGATCAGTTTAGAAAGGGAAGCAAATATGTGAAGCAACAACTTTCCTTTCATTTCTGTGACCAAGTATTTTATATTAACAAGTATTCTGTATGTTTTGTTTTGTATAAGTGCGACTACATATGGTTCAGAAAGTTTCACGAGTTCACTTCATTATCATTTTGTTTTTGTTATGTGTGCTCAAAGATGGGACTTCTCATGACAGCTTCATTTATGTTTTTGCATATTTTAACTCACTCATAATCAAAGTCGATCTGATCTACTTGTCAAGATTGTTAATTAATGGCATGATGAGAAATAACTGTGGACATGTCAGGCTTTTATCTTTGCCAGTTCCTGAGATATTCAATAAAGTGCAAAAAAATCTGCAAAAAATGAGGACAGGCAGTAAAAAATGTATTTTATATGTCAAGATATAACTTAAAGGATGTCTTTATAAATATCCTTATTTTATGCGATTAAAAAAAATCAGCAAATCAGATATAGTGGAGTAGAAACGGTGATGATCTGAGACGCAGTGACCCACAGACACTTAAAGTTTAACCCTGATTGTTCTTCTGTGGTGTCATTTTCCAAACATCTCCAATGTGTCAGACTCACTCACTTAACCCGGAGCTCTTTAGGGCCCCTGGAGGTCTGGGGCCCCGCACAAGTTTTCCATTGCGCCCTGTTGGTGATCCAGCCCTGACTACAGGCTGCAGTGTGTTTTTGGGTGGTTCTGACCTGAGGAGCCACATTATCTGTTAAACCAGCGCCTGGGAAGCATCACTTAAAGCTCTCCCCTGAGCTCCGTGCGGCCTTGCTGCGGGGGGTTATGATCTTTTATTCCCAGGTAAAGTATGGACTCTAACAAGGTGACTCCTCCCGGTGCAAACGCTCGATAATGACAATAGAAAGACCGAGTGAAGCAGAGATGTGACAACACTTGTCAGGAGGCTTCAGAGCATTGACAGCTCCCGGTTTGCCCGTGCAGGGGCACCAACACGGACGAGGAAACCCCGAGGATCACGGCCTCCTGTCCGGATGACACCGGCAGGAGCCAGCCACACTGCTCTTTTTAGCTAGCATTAGCTAAGCTAACAAATGTCTTCCCAGAATTCGAAACAATTGTAAATGGATAACTCAATTCAGACAACTTTATTTAAGGCGTGTGGGACTGGGAGCCGCTAAGGAGTTTGCAGTCGCCGGATGGACGGACAACATCCTCTGTAGGATTGTGAAAACTGCTAAAGGTTCTCCAGGTGAGACTTGTACTGTAGCTAATGCTAGCTTGCTACATAACTTGACGCTAGCTAGTTTAGTCAACCTACCATTCAACCTTAGCTGTTAGTTACCATTGACATCCTAGCTGCTATTAGCATTGACCAATTTCTGCTGTTATTTGACACATAATAAGTCGCCACTGAATGACAGCGGCTCGCTTTCCGTTCCTAAAACGTTAGCAACATTTTGATTAGCACAGTTAGCGTTAGCCAAGTTTGGCATTCCTCATCTACTTGTCAGTCAACAACAGTATCGTAACGGTTGTTTCTCCAACTTCCATTAAGTCGGTTTTCGCTGAAACGTCGGTTAAATGTCTTGTCGTTGAGTCCCGGCTTTGTCGTGAAAGTTGGGATGAAGCTAGATAGTCTCTGTGTTTAGGTAATGTTTGCAGAGCAGCATTGTTTTGATGAACAAGTTGACAGGCTTTTTGGTCTGAACACAACATTTAGTGTTAATTAGCTGTTGGTATTTGGAGATTTGGTTTCCAGCCGTTGTCTTTACTGTTCAACGTCTGTCATGAGTCCTCAGATTAATCCATCATTAGTTGATGGACTCCCTGCCAGGTAGGGGAATCCTAATGACAAAATGAAGTCTTGTCCTGCCATTTATGAGAAGCACAAAAATGAGAAGAAAATGTGATAGAATTTTCTCCCCCCTGGTCCTTAATGTCTCTCTGATTTAATTTATCTAATGACAGTAGAGGTTCAGTGGGTCTCCTTAATCATTTAGTTGATTTATCATTTTGAATATTACTTTTAATCAAATTTAAATAGAGCCATTTGAGCATGTGGGAGTTTAACTATGACCAAAGTATTAATGTCATTGGGAGGATTAGACCTTAATAAAACCTTATACATGCATCAGAAGCTTTCTTTGCATTCTTGTCAAGGTTAACCAATTTCTGGTGCTCTGATTAAGTTAATCCTAAAACCAGCAGTGTAAACATGAGTTTTAAGAGGCAGACAGGGGACGTCTTTTATGATGATTTTTCCTCATCATCCAAAATTAATTCCTCAGTGTCTGATTTGTAAAGTTTGCCTTGTGTCTGTTTCTGAGCACTGGTTCTCTTTGGGCAGTGGGTCGTCCACATGCCCTGATCCAACATGGATCCAGGCTCCCATGTAGCTGAGATTAAAGGTGTCACATTTTGCTGGTTAGATCTCAAGATTGAGTAGATTTGTTGTGTAATTTGCTTAAATCAGAAAGAATATTTTCTCTTGTGTGACACTAACCCAACCCAGCCAGTCTGCAAACGTGACACTTTGGGTTACTACTTCTTTCTTTCTCCTTCTAGGCATGATGGAAGGACTTCATAGCCAGGCTCTGAGCCTGGACCCACGCAGGCAGGAGCTGCTCGAGGCTCGGTTCACTGGAGTTGGTGTGGCCAAGGTTTGCGCATCTTAATTACATCATAGTTGTTTTGATCAACCGTTCAGAGGACAGATTGTTTCTGCAGATACGGGACTTTACATTGTGAGATTTGACCTGAATATCCTGTCCTGTTGAAGTTGTGTCCTAGAAAACTACATAGATGCTGCCTTTTAATCACAGCTAAAATGATTCAAAGATACAAAAGAGGCGTGCATGTCGTAGCCCCATTTTGAATGCAAACACTGTGGCACTCTTATGTTGGCCCTTCAGTTTCGAAAAACTCGGAAATCCTTTCTATTTATAGTTTGCTTTCTGTTCAGGAGTTTCCTTCAGTGGAACGATCTGTTTTCCTGAGCTAAAGGTGAAACAAGACGAGCTCTGTTTTGGCTGACATGGGAGCTGGCCCGCATCTCTTTGTTTCAGTGGAGACTAGTGACACTGAAATGGCACCGCAGCTGAAGCTCACAGCATTGACTGCGTGCTATGCTGCAACCCTGCTGTTGAACTGGGTATTACTCTGTGTGGGTGCGCATTTGAGAAAATGGCAACCCCTGAGAAAGCAATCACTATTATTCGTGCTCCGGCCTATATGGTGCCTCGAAAATTAATCATGTGGCCCTGCTCACTGTGGCATTAGAGCATGAATGTGAGTATGTCGACAACAGTGACTATTGTATTAAACCACCATTCAAGACGTTGTGATGTACACGTGTAGTGTACACGTTAATGTAAAGAAAGAGAGAGTTTCTTGGCTGCTTGTGTGACCTTGAGCAGCAGAAAGCCAGCAGGCCTTAAAAGCATTAGCCTCCTGCCCCAGTAAGCCTGCTGTTGCTTCTTAGTCTCATCAGACAGTGCAGCTGGCAGTGAATGAGATCAACTGATTCTACCTGCTGGATGTGAACTGAAGATCTGCAGATTAGCAGGGGAATGCATATTATACAACGTCCTAGCGTAGCATTTTAGCTTAGTTTTTGGGCTTTACCTGTTATATTTGTGTGCAGAAATTCCCACAAAGATCAGATCCAAGGAGTGAAAAAAAGAATATACACACATCAGCGTAAGGGGATTTAAGATCTGAATCTTTAGAGTAATCTGCCGCATAGAAAAGATGTGTTGAAATCTGCACATGAACGAGTGAAACCTAAAAAAGAGGCCACTGTCTGTCTTTGGTGTCGATCCATCCACATCTTAGTATTGAAAAAGACGTTGCATGCCATTTCAATATCTCTGATTTCAGCTCTACTGACAAGAGAGGCGCTCGACTAATCAATCAGGTTTGTTGTCTCTGTTCTGTACTTTAGAGTTCAGCCAACAGCGAATCATCCAACCAGTCTCTGTGCAGCGCTGGATCACTCAGTGACAAGGAGCTAGAGGTCAGTCAAGACAAAAGTGACCAATTTGTCCTCAGGTCCTTTGACCATGTGTGTGCACTTCTTAACTTAATGTGGTGATTGTTTGTGATTTGGACGAGGAGTCGAGTATTTTGTATACAGTGATGCTGGCTAACACTTTGGCACAGTGCAGCGTGAGTCATTTATTCATCTGTTGTCTGCTCCTACTTAGTCGTGGACACGGGAGGGTTTTTGTTGCGTGTATTTGATTAAATAAAATTTTCAAAAAAAGGCTGGAAAATACCTTGTTTAATCGTCGCATATATCGAAGATTCCATGCGAGAGAAACCAAACCCAGCTCAGAGCCCTGAACACCGATGGGCATTTCAGTTTAGCCGGGGGCGTAGCTGGAGGAAACACTCACAAACACAGGGAAAACATGTCCTGACAGCAAGAGCCATGACCCAGTTTAGATTGCGGACCTTCTTGCTGTGAGGTGGTGGCACAGAGTAATGAGCAAACAAACCGCCTTGTAAAGGGTAAAATTAAAAACTTAAGAGTAAGCACTGCGTTTCACAAATACCGAACTCTGAAAAGCTATAAATCTCATTGCATTACGGTCAAAAGTTAAGTTTAACTACGAGTGCAATTATATACATATAACCTGAAGGAAGGAGTTTGTCATTATGTTAATGTGGTTAATGGAAGGAACTAAATTTAGAATATAAACCGTTTTCCTGCTCGTTTCAGACACCAGAAAAGAAGGCCAGCGAGAGAAGCAGGAAGCGAAAAGGAGACATCTATGACAGCAACAGTCAAGGTAAGTCGAGCCTACTTTCTGACAGAGTTCCAAAATCAGCACTCTCCAGCAGAAATGACTCTCTATATTCAGAAATGTGCAACTGCCCTGGGTTTCACTTTCATCACTTCTTTCCTCTTGGCTCTAAATATTCATGCTTGCGAATCTTCCAAAAGTTACTTTTACTTTGAGTGCACGATTTTAATGCTCGGGAACATAGTGCCAAACCAGGAGGTTACATTTTCTCACCCACACGTGCTCTGTTTTTTTTGTAGGAAAGGGAAGAGGGCACAAAATAAGCGATTATTTTGAGGTGAGTACAAACCAACCTGACACGACGTGGCTTTGAATGCATCTTGTGTTCTGGCCATTTAGGTGTGTCGAATCACTCTCGAGCTTTACTGTGATGTCTCACACTCATGTTCTGACTGTGCCAGTATAGTCCTACATCAAACTTTTTTTTCTAAATAACCACTCTGTCCTGTTTCTCTCTGTCTTGTTTCTACACTCTTGTCTACTGCCCCGTGGCCAGTTTGCTAGTAGCAGTGGCTCTGGCACCAGTCCTGCCCGGGGCATCCCTCTGCTGGTGCGCTCCTTTCCACAGCACTCACTGTCTAATCCTCCGGTGAGCACCAGCGTCCATCTCCATTAGCTCTCACCTGGTCTGCTGTTTGTTTCCCAACTGCTCACTCTTTAGACAGCGTTAAACTCAACTAGCGGTTATGCTCGTCTAATTTCTCCCAGCATCAGTACCCTCTTAATTGGACAGAGTTGGGAGAGGCGTGCATCTGTTTGTGTTTTTGTTTTGATCGTTTTAACAAAATTTATTCCAGCTCAGACCTAGAAGACACGTCTTTGGTTTGTGTGGATCATTTCAACCAGCAGCGCACAAACGATACTTTTGTTTTTACTTTGATTTGAAAGGACCTTTGGTGGATTAGCTGCGTTTGTGGGATTACCTGGAAGGTTTAAATATGGTATTAATGCTAACGACTGGCCAGAGGAACTGTAGTTAATGGTAGTGTTCTTAGTGCTGGTGTTTTCCTTTCAGATGTTGTTTGTTCTGGGTCGTACAAAATGAGCTGGCAAATATTATATGAAACACAAGCAGACACTATGTGAATGTGTTGTGTACACTTTCAAAGACAACATTATGAAATGAATCATTAATATAGTTCAAATTAAGAACATCTTTACTTGTCATTTTCATTCATTGTATGTAAACTTCACATCTTCTCTCATCACAGCTATGAAACCATTTTTTCTCAACATGTGAACATTTTGTTATAGCAGCAGGTCTCTACATTAAAGGTGTGTGTTAAGTGAGTGCTAGTGTCCCACAGCACAAAAGGACTATATGACACGTGGAAGATTGATAGGGTGTTTTAATCATTACTTTTGATTGCTGGATAAATTGGACTTCCGACTTCCAGATCTTACTTTTCCAGATTCTCTGCCCCAAACATACTTAACACATCATCCCAGTTTTTAGAAGGCAAGGGGCTTATTTAGTGGGTTGCCTAAGGCTCTGATGAGTGTGCAGTTTGAGTAATACATAGATGAACTCGAGTGCTAATGAGATGCAGAAACACTGTTTAGCATTTCACGCTATGAAATTGATTTATCACTTGTTGTGGCCATTTCAAGGTAAACAGTGGAATTTCTGTGTCCACAGGACCAGGTAGTGAATCAGAACTGTGTGTGCTTACATGTATTTGCTTGGTCAATGCAGCATGCTGCTAAATGAGCTGAAATTTGTTTAGTAAAAGTACAGCAAACTTTCAGCAGGTACAACTTTTTTTTTTTAGCCTGTTTTTTAGCTGCAGGCCTTTAGTCAGGACAAACCAAGTGATCCCATTTGTGATGCAAATCTTGTGAGTTCTAACTTGTCCTGGGAGGAGTTTGAGGAGATCCAGAAGTCTTAAGCAGAGGGATTTATTGTAGCTCGATATTGAGGAGAACAGAGATTTAGAAAACAGGTAAACACAAGGCAATCCTACCCCAGTTCTGAAGGTTTTCTTTCTTTCAGAGCACACGAGGCGATCATGTGTAATGCGCTTATGTCATCCTCAGAAGGCCAAACTTTACATCTGTTTCTGGACTTTCCTGGTGGACTCTTTCCTTTAACCCAAAGACTTTGTCCATCTTATCATTGCAAAGACGTTTTGGACACACAGATGATGACTTCAGTGTTATCTTACCACTCAGATAACTGCATTTAACAATCAGCTATTACTCACCTAAAAAAAAAACAGACTTCATTGAAATGACGAAAAAGGGCTGCATTTTTCCCTTCAGCACATTCTAATGATATGTTGTGCAGCAAATGATCAAACACCATCTGCCGTTTTGTTGCTGAAAAGTAAGACGTTATTGATAATCAATTATTTAGTTAGTTGTGTTTCTTTAAGTTGTCAGTGAGTTTTATGTGCAGTAGTTTTTCCAGAGGGAATTTGGTTGATGGAAGAACTGTATAGTGAAGGGTACAGGCGAGTTTATTTCAGAAAGACTGAACCTGGCAGCAACATTTATGCACTAAAAAAGATATTTTACACCACCCAAAGTGACACGCCCTACCTGTAAGAATCATGTAATTTAGTTGTTGTCCGGAATTTTGCTTTTTGGAGTAAATTTAGCAAAATAATGATAGAAATGAAACTATTTTGGTCTATGTGTTATATTTTGGAAGACACACTTTAGCATAAATTCTTGTCGATTCAACTTCAGTCCTCTAAAGCCTAATAACTGCAGCATTCGCTCCCTTTTAAAAATAATTATTAACTACTTTATGACCTCTTAATGCTGTCTATATTATATAATTCCTTTTTTTTTTGCCCCCATGTCTTTCTATTTTGCTCTCTTTCCTGTCTCTGGGATACAGTTTCAGCACGGCAGTCCTTCGTCCACAGGCTCAGCCCACACAGACTCTTCATCCTGCAGCTCCGTGAAGACAAACCCCGCACACTCCTGCTCACACAAAGCCATCCAGGTAACTGCCTTCACTGACCTCAACCACCACTTGACACCACCTTTTCCTGATTTTCCTTCAGCATGTCATCAGTCACATAGTGGAGGCACGCTGGTTTTGTTTCGGTGTTGGATCACGCTTTGCATCTTTCTCAGCTTTTCATATTTGACTTGTGAAGCAGTGGTTTTGTGCTTCCATTTATTTCCACCGAGTGAAAAGTGGTTTTGTTTCCAAACCAATTAAAAAAAAAAGAAAGAAACACCATTTGACATGTTGGGATTACACAGCTGCACACCTTGTTAGGTTAAAAAACAAAAATCTGCACTAGTTGGCCGAGATGCGGATGCTACAATTAAAGGTCAAACTTTGAAAGGCCCTGCCAGCCACACTGCTGTTCGTCTGACACGATACATGTAACACACGTCCAGCTATCCCGGCAAATTACACTAATTGGCCTAATTAAAGGTCAACATTTGGAACTCACGTCTAATATTCCACACACCAGTGGCTAATTTTAATAAATTTAAAGTGATGGAGATGGGATGTTAATTGTTGGCTTGTTGTGTTTGCTCTCCTTCCTCAGTCAGAACTGACGCTGCTGAAACTGACAGCGCTGGAGAAGGACAAGAACTCCGACCTGGAAAAGAAAGAAGGGAGGATAGATGACCTGCTGAGGGTGAGATAAGCAAACACCTCAAGTTTCTCTTAAACTTCTGACAAGGTGAACCTAATTTGGGAGTTTCTGAAGCGTTCAGAGTAGGAATACAAAATAAGTTGTTTTAATCTCGTGCTTTGAATTACACACATTGATATTTTATTTTACTAGCAGTGATAAATGTCACACTGTGGAGTGTGCGCCTTAATAAAAAACACGTATACTGGACTGACTTGCAGATTTCTGTGCTTGTCACCTCAGAGTTCAGACAAATTCCACTTGTCTCAACAATCCCAGTAATTAACCTGCACCGATCTGGTTGCAGCTCATCATGAATGATGTGTTTGTTAACTTCCAAATGCCGTTGTCGCTTAAATCACATCGGTTAAATGTCAGCAAACCCAGCAGAAACACTGCTATTTGTAGCATCTTGTCAGAGCGATACTGTACGTTTTTGCAGGCTAACTGTGACTTGAGGCGGCAGGTGGATGAACAGCAGAAGATTCTGGAGCGCTACAAGGAGCGGCTTAACAAGTGTGTGACCATGAGCAAGAAGCTGCTTATTGAGAAGGTTGGTGTGAATGTGAATCTGGACAACTACGTCTGCTTGATGCTCTTAAGTGCTGTGATTTGTTTTTTTATGTGTTGGAGCATCTTTGTGAAAATCAAAAGATTTGTTTTTTTGTGTGAACATGTAGCTCATGCGGCTTTCAAGTGGTTCTGTGGTCGTTATGGTGGAATTTAACAGTGATATTCAGTTTTTCACATCCTCAGAGTTGAGCTGTGGGTGTGTATGTACAGTTTTATTCATTCGTATTCTTCTGTAGTCAAAGCAGGAGAAGATGGCTTGCAGGGACAAGAGCATGCAGGACCGTCTACGTTTGGGCCACTTCACCACCGTCCGTCACGGCGCCTCCTTCACCGAGCAGTGGACAGATGGATTCGCCTTCCAGAACCTCATCAAGTCAGCATGCAAATCAGGCACAAACGTGTTTTGGAATTTTGTCCATTTTTGCATGCAGGAGCGGTTCACACCCGATTGTTCTCGCATGTTCTAGGCAGCAAGAGCGAATCAACTCTCAGCGGGAGGACATTGAAAGGCAGAGGAAGCTGCTGGGAAAGAGGAAACCTCCCCCCATAACCCAGACGCCCCCACCCAACCTGGAACAGAACAAACGAAAGAGCAGAAGCAACGGGCAGGAGAGCGAAACGTAAGAACAGCAACAGCAACTCAGGCACTTTACAGAGTCCTTGGACCAGGCCAGTAGGGTTTATACTAGGACAAGATGTACTTATTGTGGTGTAGCTTGAATATAATATGGTTAAATAGTGGCACAGTTTCTGTGATATAACAGGTTGTCCAGTTCAGACAACAAGGGCCTCTGTTAACTTCTGTGTGTGTAATCTACTTGTGTGTGGGTGTCTTTGCAAATAGTGTGTCAATTCTGAGGTGTTAAGTTCTTCTTGTCAGTTCAACCAGCATTATTCCCAGCCTATTGACTTTTTTGTAATTAATTCTCTGTAAATGATTATGATTTTGACATTTAATGTGTTATTTTTATGAGTAGAATCTCTCACTGATACTAAGTGATTTTTGTTAACTCTACTTGTCAGGGTGTTGAGCGAGCCTCGTATCAATAGTCTGCGTGAAAACCTGATTTCATTCATTCATTACCTGAAGTAAACTTACTGCTTTTTATTCTCAAAATGCTGACCTCACGCTACACCGTCTCATACAGGTTGTCGCTGGCAGAGTATCACGAGCAGGAGGAGATTTTCAAACTTCGAATCGGTCATCTAAAAAAGGTACCAGCTCACCACGAAACGCCAGCTTTAACGTTGTTTCCGAATTTGTATTTGAGACACGCGTCGACCGACGGATGGGGTAGGTGATGAATTTGTGTGATTGCATGCAGGAAGAAGCCGAGATCCAGTCAGAGCTGGAACATTTGGAGCGGGTAAGAAACTTGCACATTCGGGAGCTGAAGAGAATCCACAACGAGGACAACTCGCAGTACGTATCGTCTCAGTTCAGCATAGCTCACTCAAGCTCTGTAGTGTCGTTTTAAATTAAGCAAACACAATTTGAAAAAAAAGCCAGGCAATTTCACAAAGCCTGTTTCTGCAGATTTAAAGACCACCCCACGCTGAACGATCGATACCTGCTGTTACATTTACTCGGAAGAGGAGGCTTTAGTGAAGTTTTTAAGGTAAGCAAGTGCCATTTATTTGACTTTCATTCTTTACAAGTACCAGTTTATTTCTTTGAATCTGTAAACTTTGCAGGGGTTTGAATAACATTTGAGAAAGGAACTGCTGCAGTAAGCAATTCACTGTGACGTCCTGGCGGTTGTAGGATTGTAGTTTATGTACAATGTTCCTTTTACAGGCTTTTGATTTGACAGAGCAGAGGTATGTGGCCATTAAAATACATCAACTCAACAAGAACTGGAGGGAGGAGAAGAAGGAGAACTACCACAAGTGAGTCTGAAACTGTTAATTACACTTTTCCATTACTGGAAATGTTTTGATCTGTAATGACAGAATACATTTTAGCTCTTTAAGCCTGAAACTCTTTATGAATGTTGTTAGTTAGGATGTTGTTTTTTTTCTAAATAATTACTAAATGGTTTTATTGGTACTAAACGGTAAATGATTCTTTTAATTTTCTTTCCAGACACGCCTGTAGAGAGTACAGAATTCACAAAGAACTTGACCACCCCAGAATAGTGAAACTCTACGACTATTTCTCGCTCGACACAGACTCGTAAGTGCCTCAAGCCTCATAAAGCGAATGAAGTTGTGCCAATAAAAATGTGTAATTGTAGTCTTAATAAATGATGCTGCAGTGTTCCGATGCAGTAGTTCTAAGCTGTACCACGTTGGACTGTAGAAACACGTCTGAGGTGTCACCCGGGGAATGGAAGAGACTCTGAAGCTTGGATTTAAGTTTGTAGTTTGTAGTAGTGGAGATGGAGGTGATGAGGGAGAAGCTGAAGGGACGATAGGCTGGGATACTTGGATGTCAATCACGAAAAGTACTTCTAAACAAAGAAGACTTAAGCCATAGGACGGTTTTATAACATTTTATGGATTATTTTTAATATTTGTGATATATTTACTTAAAAAAATAAGTCTATGGGTGCCACAGAATTCATCTAGCAGATTTCCAATGTAATTTAACCAACTGGTACATATTGCACCTGGTTGTTCACGTGTATTGTAAATATGGTAAAGCTGTTATGATGTTAATATCAAATCAAATCCAAATCAAATCCAGTTTATTGTCATTTTGCTGCACATACACAGTAGTAAAGGCAAGATGAGAGAGTGTTTCTTCAGCAAGTTTTGCAGAATTCACGTCTGGGATAAGACACTAAACATTCGCTGTCGCTGCGTCCATGCGCACCGCCATCACATTGAACATGGCGAACCTCTTCAGGTCCTGGTAGGTCTTCAGGGACACAAAGACACACACAATGCTGTGACGATGCTGCCCAGAGCTAGCTGTCTGTCTGTCCACCCGGAATAATGTCGTCCCCTCCAGCTGTATGTCGTCTGGGATGTTGTCATGGAGCCATGTTTCTGTTGAAGCAAACACACAGCAGTCCCTCCACTCTCTGTGGGTTTCTCTCAGCAAACGTAGCTCGTCCAGCTTGTTGTGGAGGGAGCGGACATTGGAGAGTAGGAGGATGGTCCTGCTGGTCTGGAGGGGTTAGCCTTTAGCTTAGCATGGATCCTGCTGGTCTGGAGGGGTTAGCCTTTAGCCTAGCATGGATCCCGGCTCTCTTCCTCCTCCTTTGTTTACGTTTGTATTGTTTGCGCTTCCTTCTCTCTCGGGTAACTGCCAGCGTCGTCTCCAGTCAGACTCCGTGTTGGTGTAGTTTGTCCACATCACAACTGATTGCCACAATTTCAGCACCGTTCACTGTCCTGATGCCCAGCAAAGTCTCCCGGCTGCAACTTTTGCAGAATGAACGTCTGGGATAGACAAGACACTCAAACGTTCAGTTTCGTTGTCTCCTGAAGGGGGCGCTGCGTCTATGCGTGCCGCCATCACCGTGGCAAAATATTGTCCACATATTACTTTTAAGCATCTTTGGCGTGTGTGTGATCAATAGTAACACCTTCCCAAATAACCCGTCTGTTGTATTCTCTCTCGCAGGTTCTGCACAGTCCTGGAGTACTGTGAAGGCAATGATCTGGATTTCTACTTGAAGCAGAATAAGCTGATGACGGAGAAGGAGGGCCGCTCTATTGTCATGCAGCTTGTCAACGCCCTCAAGTACCTCAATCAGATTCGTCCACCCATCATCCACTACGACCTCAAGCCTGGTAGCCTCACCGAGTTCTCATTTGTCATTTTGCAATCCTCCATCCTTCAGACAGACAGTAATCTCTGTAGTTTAAAACACATTCCTCAAGCTCTCTGTCACAGTAAATGCAGTGAGACGGTGTTGTGAGAGCTCATTTTGGTTGAATTTGTTCTGTTCTTAGGAAACATCTTGTTGGTTAACGGCACAGCTTGCGGAGAGATTAAGATCACTGACTTTGGCTTGTCCAAGATCATGGATGATGACAGCTACAACTCTGCAGATGGCATGGAGCTGACCTCACAAGGAGCAGGGACCTACTGGTACACAGAGACGCTTTTCACAGCATTTAGTAACCAAGCAACCAGTGTGGCTTCACAAGTTTGTAGCGAAGGCGCAGAGAAATCCTGCAGTCATATCCTCTTTTCAGCAAGTAGTGTAAAAGTGGGTGGAGAACATTTCCACACAAATCTAATTCAGCTTCATGTTGTGATTGTGTGGCTTACAGGTATCTGCCCCCTGAGTGCTTTGTCGTGGGCAAGGAGCCCCCCAAAATATCTAACAAGGTGGATGTTTGGTCAGTAGGGGTCATCTTCTATCAGAGCTTATATGGACGCAAGGTAACCGCTGACCTCTGTTTCGTCACACAGATTGTCAGGATTGTGTTTTCTGTTGTAGCAAAATGTTATCAGCAATCTGTTAACTGGTTCCCTGTTTTGTTTTTCAAGCCGTTTGGTCACAACCAGTCGCAGCAGGACATTCTACAAGAAAACACCATCCTAAAAGCTACTGAGGTGCAGTTCCCCCCCAAGCCTGTGGTCACTACAGAAGCAAAGGTGTGGAACTTTTTTTTTTCTGAACTGCTGCAAACTCTCTGCACTGTTCTGATCCAGTTTAATACTTTGAAACGATATCACTTAGTCAGTTTCAATGACACTTAATTCCTGCTCAAACAGGATCACAGCAATGAGGGAAATGCCAGCGGGATGTAGCATGAGCATGTTTGATCTGATGGTAGGGGCTAAGGGAGATTTGTGTGTTTTATTGGGTAAGCCTGTGTGTGGTGTCATTATGCAGAGTTCCTGAAGCAGCCAGACCCTTGGGGCTATCTGTTTACATTTATTGTCTTTGGAGGGAATCAGCTCTCAGAGTTATGCATGAGTTTGTTTTAATAAGTATGTCAGAAATATGATACTGTCAGAACAGCAGGGAAAGAAAAACATTGGTTCAGATTGAATGAGTCCGTTTCTTTGTCCCCGCTCAGGCCTTCATTCGACGTTGTCTGGCTTACCACAAAGAGGACCGGGTTGATGTGCTGCAGTTGGCCAGTGACCCCTTCCTAATGCCACATATTCGAAAAGCCCTGGGAAGCAGCACACCTCTGGCACCTCCAATCCCCTCCACCTCCAGCTGCTACGGCAGCAGTGCCTCCAACTGAAGCAAGCTGAAAGAAACTGGAATAAAACCCCAGGGAGGACAAAGCCACATGGAGACATTACACGCTTGATGAAACTCCTCCTTTGCTCTCTTGATGGCAAGGGAGCAGAGAGCATGATGGGAAGGAGGGATCCTAAAAGTGTGAAAGGAACCAAAATGGGGGATGATGTGGTGATGTAGTAGTAAATGTTCCCACCACTGTTTGTCCAAGTGGTAAAAATGAAGGGCCAGCCTCTGGCTGTGGGCTCAGTAGAACCCAAAGATTTGCCCATATGCATGCACTAACAAAAACTTTGGCTCATTTCAAGGGGCTTTTTTACATGATAGATATTAAAAGCACCTGAAAAATTGCACAACTGACAGGCTCAGAAGTACGCCATGTGTGGAAGATCACTTGCCTATACTCTGGAAGTTTTAGAGGAGGAAGCATTAATGAAATTTCATCCCATACTGCTTGAAATACATCATCTATCAAATTATTTTTCAGAACTAGAGTGGTCAGTTTCAAATATGTATCCCTAAAGGAATGAACCTGGAACTTTTTTAGGAAGGGCTCCTTGGAGTGATGAGGAGTGACTGATGACCAAAGTTCGAGGCCTGCTTTGTTGACACGACACCGTAAGAGGTTCAGAAGTGACTTGACAGAGAAGAGGGCTGATTCTGGAAAGACTGGCTGGTTTTGACCTATTTTAAATATTTTACTTGATAACTGGAAGTCAGCTTATTATTTTAATTGTTAAGTCCATATTTTTCCATGAGATTTACCCCCTCTAATGTTGTTGTTAACCTTAAAGGGGGGGGCTGACTCGGAGTGAGTGTTGTGATGCGAGGTAAGATTCAACAGAAATAATTCATGAAAACATTAAAAAAAAAAAACATTTGGTTAACTTTGTGGTGTCGTACTTCATTTGAGGAACTTGATAGGCAAATCATACTTTCCATATTTCATTCTTAGTGACACATGATGCTGCTACATGAATCTGTAATAATACCAATGCACACGTCAAATATATTTAATCTTGGAATAAACTAAACTCAGACATTTTTTCACTGCATAAAAATTTTATTAACTCAATCTCACCATTAAAAGTTTCCGATATCTAAAACGGAAAAATACATGTGATGGTGCAAGAGTATGAACACAAAGTTATCAGTGCACCTTTAACATCTGACAAATCTGTTAGTTGCATTCAACGTTATTGAAATGCTGACACTTTGAATCCTCGGCTGTAATCTAATAAAAAGTCTACTTTAACTGTAAGTATCACATCGCACTCTTACAGCTTTTATGTTTGTGGAAAAACGACTTCAAAATGTGCAGCGGGTGACGGAGGACGGCTTAAACTGGAAACAAAAGGTTGGAGCGGGGATTTCTTTCAAAGCACATTTTAGTCTGAAGAAGTGTGAAATTGTTTTCATGTGACATCAGCCTTTCAGAAAATGCCAGCTCTTAATTAGTGAAGCAGAAACCAAAATGAGACATTAAAGTGTTAAAATGTTGTCCTGCTTTGCCTGTAATGCGTCCGTAATGGGCCCACAAATCATTTTCTCCGCTCTGCAGCAAAATGGGTTGAGGTGACCCGTCTGTAACATGTAGAAACACAATCTGGACTGAAGCTGTTGACACTGCTCGATGCTTTTAGTGCAGAGAATCCTGCAAACGTAACCATTTCTCTTCCTTTGGCTAAGTATCCACAAAACATGACATCCATTTATCAGAGATGCATCTGACTGTTGTGAAGTCGATACATCGAGGAATTGTCCAGCAGGTCTATCTGTTGTAGAACTGTGAGGTGACCCAGGCCAGGCCCCACTTCAGGTTGGTGAGCATGAACTTGAGAGCTTTGGTCCACTGCTCCTCGGAGTTAAACTGGGTTTTGATGGAGTAGGAGCCTCCGCTGCCGCCTGTATCTTCAATCTTGCCTTTCTCCACATCCATCCTGAGACATGGGGGGAAAAAAAATACATGAGTATAGAGAAGTCTCCAACTTATGGTTAGACGTGTCTGTGAAGATTCTCAGGATCCAGGTTATGGTTGTTCTGGTAGGTTCATCGTAGCAACTGGACTTGCTTGAGCTCCTTGAAGATGTTCCACCTCTCATCCAAGAGGCTTCATCAGTTCTGACTGACTAGTTGGGAGTTCTAGATACTTATATCCTAAAGAAGCCATTAACTAGCCACCTAGCCACAAAAGACCCTAACGAACCCCTTTGTGGCAGGGGGAGCACCAACGACCCACATAACGAGGTGGAGGAGCAACAAACCCCCAATTGAAACCCAAACTCAGGTGTTAATGGATCCTTTAGGATATCAGTATCTGGAACTCCCAACTAGTCAGTCAGACCTGATGAAGACTCTTGGATGAGAGGTGGAACGTCTTCAAGGAACGTCTTCAAGGAACTCAAGCAAGTTCAGTTGCTACGATTAATCTACCAGAATTATGGTTAGACCTGTAGAGTGGAGTTCGGCTTATTTTTGACTACAAATGTAGAATTGAAAAGTCAGAATTGCTGCTTTGTAGCTGTAGCAAAATAACTAGTCAAAGCAGAAATACAATTAACTACACATCTGTGACCACCAAACTTAATCTATATCTGATCATATGGTTTTATAGATTCTCTTTTGGTGGAGAGGAACATAGTAATATACGGTTAAGCAACAGTGGATGCTGCCTCATGCACTTCAAAGTTTGCTTCAAATCTGCAGCACTACAAGTGGTTCCCAGAGGCTGAAGTGTTCATTACATCCCGCGTATTGAAAGCTCTGCTGGTAAGAACGCTGAGCCAAAGGTCGCACAGTGCTGTCCACACGGTTCAATGAACACAGCACACTGTAATTATGTCATACAAACACATAATTATAACTCGCTTTCAGCTTGACAGACTTTGATTTTCTGAAGGTTTTAAGCCACCCCAGTCACCAGTTCCTTTACCCTGGATTTAATAGGTGATATTTCCCCGTGGAACAAGTAACGCACCAGTGCAGACCGAGGCAGAGTGGACATTTTTATTTTGAACTTGGGATTTGAGATAGAAGTTCACAAGGCTAGTACATAAGTATTTGTGTTAGTAAATGTTGAACTAAAAGCGTTCTTTTAAATATTCCGAATGGCCTCCACTCTCCTCCCTCTAGAATAAGATGAGATAATGTTTAACATTCAAACTTGATGGATATTTACAGCTTCATTTTAAAAAAAGCTGCAAAGATGTAACACACAAAAAAATGAAATATTGTGCTGCTGATCTGCAGGAGTCTGACCTGTATGGGAGGCAGAAGCCAGTGTCTCCTTTTTCCACCTCTTCTTTGAACTGCTGGACACAATCCAGGAAGGCCACCATGGCATGATCGAACTTATTGTCCCAGAAGAACCTCAAGCCGCCTGAGCAGTACAGCGGAAGCTCCTGGACACAAACAGGATGGGACAAAAAGGGTAAAAATTGCAACCTGGACGACTCTTTAGGTAATAACGGCAGAGGTGAGAGTAAGAACGCTGTATGTGTTACCTTTGACTTGTCCGTCAGCGACTCTAAGTATGAGTGGTTCCCATATGGCACCAGACGATATCTGAAGGCACAAAAGAAGCGTTGTTTGGGCTTATTTTGTGTTTACTTGCAGAGAAAGAAAAACATAATTGTAAAAAACAATGCAATGTATTTGTGATAAAGCCTAAGAAATGCATTAATGCTGAAGGATTGAGGTAAAGCCAAACAACAGCAAGAGAATTAAGATCATATGTAAGATATAAAACCTTATTAGTGGGAAATGCAGCATTGTAGTACACTCACATTTCTCATATTCCTATAGAAACATGAATGAATTTGCATTGCTTTGAAGATTTAACTGACAAACACATAAATGGTCAGTGCTTTATGCGAGCAAATTCGAATGTGAGCGTACCTCTGGAAGCGCAGCCCCATTTTGTTGGCCAGAGCGTGCAGCAGCAGCACCGTCTGCCCCCAGGCTGCGTTTATCTCATTCCACTCCACGGGGACGCTGGGAAGTCGACCCAGACGGAAGTTGTTGATGGTACCAAACTGGCCGCTGTGCCTGGAAAAGAAGAGAAACGATTCAGACACTCAGTCATTAGCTATTGATATATTTTGGTCTGAGGGCCCAAGTTAAATATTTGCAAAGCCACGGTTGATTTGCGGCCAGAAAAACAAATTATCTTTGAGCCAACATCGTGGGTGTGTGCGTACCAGATGTGAAACGTAGCGTTGAAGACGTTGGTCTTTTTCAGCCGATCTAGCTGAATCTGGCAGTAACGCATCTGGTTGTCGACGCTCTTCAGCTCGTCATCCAGCTCTAGCTGCTGCCGTTTGAACTCGCTGTACTCCTTCTGGTACCTTTCAGCAACACACAATAGGACGAGGAGGAGCCGTTAGGTGCTGTATCATTTATAATATCCTGCTGTCTGGTGTCTACATCGCTGCCAGGTCACTCACTGGAGCTCCTCTGTGTCCAGCTGCTGCGAGTGGACCCTGCTCTGAGTAAGATCCTGGGCCACAGCAGCCCTCTGGTCCTCCACCGCCTCCAGCTCCTGCACCAGAGCCTCTTCCTCCTCCTTCAGCTGCTGCAGCTCCGCCAGCAGCGTCTCCTCCTCCTCCACCTGTAGGTGTGACAGCAGCTCCAGACACTGCCTGAAAATGCATTCACATACATTTGAATTAAAGGCGTTCAACGTACTAAGCAGGCTGGTATCAACGTGTTTGACTGATGACTGGCATCTAGAGAAAGTAAACTTTATTCCTCACTTGTAATTCTGGCATTCGTTCTCTGTGATGTTGAGCTGTGTGTCCAGGTGGTCCAGCAGAGTGTCGGTACATTCCTCACACAGCGGGTGGTCCACATCTGTCTGGCCCGACATGATGTCAAACAGGTCACTGGTTACCTGGGTGGGACAGGACCAGAGGCATAACTGTCATTTGGTTTTGTCACATAGTTCAAACAACTTAGAACCAAAATGTGAACAAAGCTGCTCTAAATTACAACTGCACAACCACAACCTTGACTTCAGGAGGAACACAGCCCCACTACCCTCCATCACCCTGAGAGACTGCCCAGGGGACCCTGTGGAGTCTTTCTGCACCATCATCACACAGGACCTCAAGTGGGAGCTGAACATCAGCTCTCTCATCAAAAAAGCCCAACATAGGATGTACTTCCTGCAGCAGCTGAAGAAGTTCAGGCTGCCAATGAAGATGATGGTGCACTTCTACAGCTCTATCATCGAGTCCATCCTCACCTCCTCTATCACCATCTGGTACGCTGCAGCGACGGCCAAGGACAAGGCCAGACTGCAGCGTATCATCCGCTCGGCCGAGAAGGTGATTGGCTGCAATCTGCCTTGTCTCCAGGACCTGCTCGCCTCCAGGACTCTGCGGCGTGCAGGTAAGATTGTGGCCGACCCCTCCCCCCCTGGCCCCGACTTTTTTCATTCCTTCCCTTTCTTTTTTTTTTTTTTTTTTTTTGCTTTTTTCTTCCTTTTGTTTTTTTTTTTTTGCCCCACCCCCCAGAACACATTCCTCGTATACCTGGCAATAAATCTGTTTCTGATTCTGATAATTGTGGGGATGTAACTCACTTGTCCAAGTACCATTAAGAGTTTATTTCCAGTAAGAAAGTCAACATTACCTTCAGTCTGCGGCTGAGATTTTCCATTGTGCCGCCATCAGATGCTTCTCCAATCAGCGTGAAACTGTTGGCGCTCTCTGTTGACATCATTCTGAGAAAAAGGCCACGATTCAAGAGTCAACGGTTCTGTCTACTTTGCAGGTTATGCCACATTTGTAAGTGCATCACAGCCTCCGTTGCCACAGGAACATGTCAACTAAAGAGATTATCAGCGAACATAAATTGAAATCAGTGTTGTGTACAGTTTCCTAAATCAAACGACTCACCTGGCTGGAGGGATGTATTTTCTTGATACTCCATCTTGCTTGTTTTCCGCAAAAGTCTCCTAAGAAGAAGGAAGGAAGGAAATTCTGAGGCTCCAATACGCTTGATAACAAAATATTATCACAATGGAACAATGATTCTTTTCATTCCTCTAAAAAATGTGCAGATTACATGTTTTGGCATAGAATAAAAAAGTTGTTATCCAATCACATCAGCTAACTGTGCACAGGTATAGTATATTAAGATACAAGAAACTAATAAGCAAAACACTTCTTGTTTACCTTGTGTGCTGGTTTCTTCTAAATATATTCTAACCTAAATCATATCTACATGTTTCTTTACTTACAAGCTAAATACTTCATAATTACTAAATCATAACCTTCTAACTATAAAACTGTGGTTAAATCAGTCCACATTGTCGCTGCTAAATGGAGATGCTTCATGTCACACTTGTGAATGTGCCATTTACTTAAAGTCACTGTTTTATCTTTTCAGTCTGTGATCTTCAGCCTGGGAAAACAGTTTTATCACATTGCTTTTACATGCCCTAGAACAGTATTGTCTGTGATAACAGGAGCAAGGAGTTCACCATGACAGTAGGTAGATAACACAACAGCCTCTCCATAAACTGCTTGAACTGCTACCATCAGGCAAACATTTCTGGTGCATTAAAGGAAGAACCTCCAGAATGATCAACAGCTTCATTCTACAAGCTGTTAGAATGCTGAACTACTGATCTAGATATGCAAACACTTGTTTATTTATTCAAACTGCTTTAAAGTATTGAAGAAAACGAAGAAATGCTCTTTCATCTTGCCTGTACTACTACTGTATGTACAGCAAAATGACAATAAACTTGATTTGATTTGATTGAATTCCACTGATCTCATAGTGTGCCTATTTTCAGCAAATTAACCAAAGGCTCACATGTCCCGAGAATGTGCCTTTTAATGTTTCAGCTCAAAATACAACGAAGATGGTTCATTCCACCATGACTGTATAACTCCTGGTTTTAGTTCTGTGTGTAGCTGCTGTCCACCCTCTAAAGGAAGAAAACTTTCTGTGTCTGTGATTGACAATGCTGAAAAAAAACAATTGTGGGGGGCTTGTGGGATGGCAGAAATAAACGTTTTCATTTCTTACTTTACAAGTCCAAATCTATAGCAACCACAGAACACAATGAAAAGAATGTTTTTCACTACTTGGGTTCTTTCACAGTTTGACTAATAAACCTGAGATCAGTGAAATATTCAAACACACGTCTTCATTCATCTAATAATGACCAGCAGCGTACCTCCGGGGCTGTCTGTCCTTCGCTGCTGTCAGCCTGTTTGCTGGGGGTCACTGTGACCAGCGGGGCTGAGGAGGACAGAACCACACTGACAATCACTACATGTTATATGAAGCAGTATCAGCACCGCTACACTGCAAATGTTTCCTACATCGGGCTGCACTAATGAGAGGTATACATACCGATAAGCTCCTGTATAGTGACCCGATCGAGCACATTGAAGGACGTGTCCAGCTTGAGCGGCTGGCAGCACCGCTGACACACGAAGCTGACCTGCATGGTCGTGCTCGACGACTTGGAGCCCTCCATCGCTAGCTGCAAAACGACAAGTAGAAATAACGGGACACTGTTATCGGGGGGGAACAAATGGAGTTGCATAACAGTTGTTTATCGAAATTCTAAAAATAAGCATCCTCATTAGAACTTGCTAGCTAGCTAGCCTAGCTGTTTGGCTAAACTGCCGGACAGCTGGTTAGCTCCGCAGCTAGCGTATATGTAGCATTCAACCACGACAAATAAGCACAAAGATAAACTCACTGTCGCTTGTGAAAAACAAACGCTATTGCATTATAATCCCAATTTATTCGCGGCGAAGGTAATAATCCAGTCCTGACATATTTAGCGTGACCGTTTCATTTTGCACCTCGGGACTTCCTGTAGCACTTCCTTATTGTTGTTTACTGCGGTTATGACGTCGATGGCAAAGTCACGTGTAAAAGTCAAGAACCAGCGTGGAGATAGTTTATATAACAAATTGGTTTATACTAAGAAATGTCAATATTACCGACTATAAGTAATGATAAAAATGTGGCTGCTATGAATTTAAGCTTTTAACCTGAGCCCCAAACCAACAGGAAACAGCAGGGAATGAGGGTTGCAATAAATTGTCCCGTTTTTGTGTCTTTATAATTATGTAATAAATAATTGCCCGGATGATTTGTCGTAATGGTCTCCGTGGTGACTGCAATGGCTGTAAACAATAGAAAACACATTACAACATCTTGTTCTGACAAATCCTGCATAAAGTCTTTAATTCATGACAAGTGTTTGCAAATTTAAGAACCGTAAACTTTAGCAAAACAGCTTCTTGCATCAAAAGGCACATGGAAAACACCTATGACCACTCAATCAAGGTGAGGGTGTATGGTGACAAAGTGGAGGAAGCATAGACTGTATAAAAAGAACTAGTTTGAACATAAACTAAGACTCAAAAAGTCATTCATATACAGTCTATGGGAGGAAATCCCTACCTAGATGTCTACTTATGAAGTAGGAGGTACTGCCGCAGGTATACTGAACCACCACTTGTTGCCTCCATGGATAATCAGAATCAGAAATACTTTATTGATCCCCTAGGGGAAATTGCTTAAAATAAATAAAATAAAATAAATGAGGGTAAGTAAACTTGCTGCTTCTAACAGTGACTCTATATATTTAGATAATAGACCAGGGAGAATAACTAATTGTGGTAGTTGATAGTTGTTTGTTTGTTTTTTTAATAAAACTGATAAATTTCAGTACATCAGTAAACAAAAATAGTAGCTATGAAAAATTGTGACCCCCTCCACAACTATCTGGGGGAGAAAAGCAGGTCAGATCACAGAATTTCTTGTAAGACCGTGCTACATATTATTGTACCAAATAGTGGTCTATAATACAACAGGGGGGCATTATCTGTTCATAACAGTTTCACACAAAAATGCAAAAACACACCCAGATATATTAAGTACATGTAAAACCAGTGCTTTCTGAATTAATAATAATAATAATAATGGAGAATTTCCAATTTCATATTCAGAAAAGCAAATGTTACAGAGGTATATTTGTGTTAAAGAAGAAACCCTTTGGTTGCCAAATGATATAAATTATTTATTGGAATGACAACTGATTCATTTTACTTTTATATATTTTCTGCACCAGTTAATAGATTATTGTTGCAATACTACAGTTCATTGACTCCATTAGACTGTAGTGTTTCACATCTAAATCAAACAGTTTTATTTTCCACTTTATGTGTTTTTTTTTTTTTTGTGTGTTGTTTTTACTTTTAGGAGGGGGGAAAGGAGCCAGTTTGCTTGCGCCACCGCTGCGTGTCTCTTGGCCTGCAGGCGGCGCTGTGACGTGAGACGCATAGTGCAGTAAATCTACCGCAGAAGAAGACAATAGTTTGCGGGAAAACTGAAGCGGATGGTTCCTGTATGGATGAGTTCAACTTGTAAGAAAACAAGGTAAAATCGAAAATATGATTTATTTTACACATAGAAAGTGGCTCGACCTGCTTCTCCGTGTCAGATAAGATTATTTTAACATATTTGCATGTCAGTTTTGGAAGTTGTCAAACTACCGTTATAAGTTAGCGTCTCATAACAAATCATAGCAGCTAGCACGCTTCTGGTTTAGCTGTAATTAACTGCAACTTTAGCTCCTGACGCTGTTTATGAACATGAAAGTGTGTTTTATAACCTTAAAATAGATTTAACGAATACAGCCACGGAGTGTTTTTGACTTGCTGTTGATAGTGTCGCGTTGGTTTCCTGTAAACTAAATATAACATTGGCGACATGCTTGAACGACTTCCATTATACACTAATGCAATGATGATATACGCTAGAAACGGTACAAATAAAGCGTTGACAGTAATAATACTCATTTGCCATTTAGCCAAGTGCACAAAAAAAGCACATCTGGGCAAGTGGGATGTTGTGTAACCGTTTTATGAGCCTGTGAGTAGTAAAACATCCTGAATACTTCACCTGCCTGAGGAGCTCCATTTTCATGCATCTACCAGAAAAACAATAGAAGCAGTGTGTGCAGTGATCAAAGTACACACGGTTCATAACTTATCAGTCAAGGTTAGACTGAGTGGTTCAACATTAAGTCAACAATAGGACCTTTCACAGACAAGGTGTGGATTGTGAGTAAGTCATTATAATAGCCCTGACAAAAAGATGTTAATTCATCATCAGTTTACTGTCTGTTCTGGAGTGTAGAGCCTATTACTGATGTGTGAAGTCTGAGTTAATAAGTTGTTTTGTTGATTTAAGCAGGCACACTCACACCTACAGGTAATTTAGATCACCAATTAACCTCAGCAGTGGACCCATTGAGAACCCACGCTGCACAGGGAGAACGTGCAAAGTCCACGTAGAAAGATCCCAGGCGTCCTGACTGGGACGTGAGCTGGAGATCTTTTAGGTGTGAGGCGCTGTTGTTAACCTCCGAGCCACCGTGCAGCCCAGCACTGTGTCACATTCAATGTTTTCCAGCACTATTTTGTATAAGATAATGGTTCAGATTATGCAAATTAAAGACCATCTCTGGGTGGCTCTGGCTCAGGTGGTAGAGTGGGTTGTCCACCAATTGCAAGGTTGGTGGTTCGATCCCCTGCCCCTCCACAGTCGAAGTGTCCTTGGGCAAGACACTAAACCTAAAGTTGCTCCCAATGAAAGGCAGCACCTTACATGGCAGCTCTGTCATTATTGGTGTATGAATGTGATCTACTCTCAAGTGTACGTTGCTTTGGATAAAAGCGTCTGCTAAGTGAAATTCAAAATTGAAAAATCAAATTTTTGCCTACTTAACATGTCCATATGATGTTTACATATATATATATATATGCTGGATAACATCTCATGAGTTAAATATGTGACAAATGCCATGGCTAAGCTTTTCCACCTAGAATTTGTAGTGTACGGACTCAAAAACAACACAGATTCAGATTTCTTGGGTTTCATATGTAACAAATCTAAGAAACCAACCGTGTCGACTTGTGGGATTGGGCTGTGTCATTGCTCTTGTCAACAACTGGTTCCTGGTTCTAACGTGTGTGGCTGAATAACGGCTAATTTGTCAGACAGTTTACATCGGCACCACAAAGCCACCACAGTTTAAAGCCACTTGACTTATTCAAGCCATCTGCTGAACTTAATGTCTTTTTCTATCACAGTAACATTGCAGAAAAACAAAATATGGCAATGTCAGCTTTTTTTCAAATATTGTGCAACCCTAATTACGTAAAAGGATCATGAAATTATTGTTATTTTTTTAAACTTGTAGATACCGATACAGACATACAAAGATGAGTTTTTAGGGGTTAAATCAATGATTGCAGAGGGATTTCAGTATCATAACTATTGATGACAAACAAATGATTAATGTGTTCTACGTTTGTACATCAATGCTGCTACATCTCCAATTACTGAATATAGTTTCACTGGTTAAACACTGGGCTGCAAGGTGGCTCGGTGGTTAGCACTGTTGCCTCGCAGCAGCTAGAAAGTCGCCGTTCACGTCCCGGAGAGGACACCCGGGATCTTTCTGCATGGAGTCTCCATGTTCTCCCCGTGCAGCGTGGGTTCTCTCCGGGTTCTCCGGCTTCCTCCCACACAGTCCAAAAACATGTTGAGGTTAACTGGTGATTCTAAATTGTCCGTAGGTGTGAATGTGAGTGTGCTTGGTTGTCTGTCTCTAAGTGTAGCCCTGTGATAGACTGGTGACCTGTCCAGGGTGTCCCCTGCCTTCACCCTGAGTCAGCTGGGATAGACTCCAGCCCCTCGTGACCCTAGTGAGGATTAAGTGGTGTATAGATGGGTGGATGCATGGATGGATGGATGGATGGGTGGCTAAACACCACCAAATGTCAAATATAGCACTAACATTGCTCACTGTATACTGTTATTTGTGCAATACTGGCAGTTGATATTGCAAGTAGAGCTTCTTTACAGTGTTTGCTGTGATTTTTTTTTTTAAATTGTAGCTTTAAAAAAATCACCATGAAAACCCCAGAGGCCACAGATGTCAAAAAGGGCATATCAGTCCTTTGGGAAACTCTGCAATGTCCCATATGGTGAGTGTCATTCAGAACAAGACTTGTTAATAATAATAAAAAAACATTTTAAAAATCTGCTTTGTCTTTAATATGTTTTTATTATTGCACAATGAAAACTGTTATTCATTGTTAATTCATACTGAAAACTAAATGCATTGTATTTAGAAGAACTGTCACGCTCTGAACTGACTTTATGCGTTCTTTCACCTGCAGCTTGGATTTGATGACTGCGCCTGTAGCTACCAAGTGTGACCATCAGTTTTGCAAGTAAGGAACTGATGCATCCGCTTTACTGAGATGATTTGTGGCGTTTTGGTAAATAAACTCCACTTCTTATTTATTTATTTCTAACATGCATTCATGAATAATATATTTGTTTTCCGTCCTACCAGATTTTGTATGATGAAACTTTTGGACAGCTCCAAGCAAAACAGGGCCAGCTGTCCCGTGTGTAAAGCCAAGATAACCAAAAGGTTGGACAGAATCAATACGATGACAGTGTAGCGTTTACTTGAGTCCCTGACAGCTAATTGCTATTAATACCTGCATCATTATACTTTCATATGTGTGTGCACAGGAGCTTGCAGGAGAGTCCTGGATTTCAGAGACTTGTAGCAGGCTTGCAGGATATGATACAAGCATATGAACATGACACCGGCACAAACTGTAAGACTACATCGCAGGCTAATTAAAATGACCTTATGGAAATGACTTGTGTTGCATCACCTGACATTGCATTTTCACATTTTCAGACTTCACTGGAGTGCCCCAGACAGAAAAACACTCAAGGTAGCCATTAACTAAACATTTTGAGTAGTACTTCTTTATTCTGTTCCGTTACATTAATGTGTATTTTCCTCTACCAAGTGTCACAGATGCTGAACATACCAAACATCCTCATAGTGTGTCATCTGGAGATACACCCAGCACCGGCCTTGACAATGTGGAAAGTGCTGACCATGAAGATCTTCCACGGTCCAACTCCTCAACCATAGCAGGTAAAATCTGAAGTTCATGGATTGCTGTTATTAGTCAGCTGCTGTGTTTATTTATGAACTAGTTTGTGCCACTTTGGTGTAGATCTGCAGCTCTGAAACTCAGTCTGAAAAAGAATACATAAGCAAAATGTAGTTTGATTACCTTATTTGACAGATGTCTATGCATGTCCTTTTTTTTCTGACCATTTAATAAACAAAAATGTCTATTACGCTTGAGTAAATGAAACCCGAATTAATAAAATGGGTTGAAAAAATATATTCTCACTTCTTATTATTTTGGTGTCGAAAACCTCAAATCTTCGTCTATGTGGAAACATACTTGTGCTCTGGTACTGTTATTGTTTCCTGACTTTATAATAAAGTCCAGTCACAAAGTATTGGGTGGCACAAATCTGTCCTGCTTGAGATTCCTTAACAAAGACAAAAAAAAAAAAGTCCTCTGCTCTCAGTAAAACCACCCGAGGCCCTGCTCCGGTATAATGACTTTCCAGTAGTAAATGACATAGGAACAAGTGTAAGTCATTATTTATCCTATTTTAAAAGAGTGTTGTCCTCCTAAAGGTTCAGTATGTATCATTATTTGTCATTTTCTCATTTCCTTTTAGCCCAGAATGGATTTGCAAGACTCATGGGACTTGAAGATTCGGCTCCTTTGACGACAGAAAACGAAGGCCTGGATAGCGGCCTTGGTGGCGCTCCTCCAACCTCTGATAAGAAAACATCCAGCTCTACAGATAATGTGGATCCAGCGCAAACAGAAGTGCCAGAAATTGTGGCAAAAGCTACACCATCACACAAAACTAGAAGCGAAAGGAAATCTGTCAACTCTGAGAACCTTTGTCCGATATTAATTTCCGAAGAGACCGAACCCCAACCTTCGAGAAAGTCCTCAAGGAAGAAACGGAAAAGGGATTTGGAGCCTGATAAGATTCTTGAGCAAAAACAGAAGAAAAGTTTAGAGAAAGTCACTGAGTGGCTCATGAAAGTCCCAACTGAAGGAGGTCTGGAGTTAGAGAAACCAGACGACGATGCAGATGACTCCGACAGCTCTTCTTCCGCTTCGACAATAGACCTCAAGCAAAGCATTAGTGATTTGATTCCTAAGAGAGAAGAGCGAACGAGAGCTCTTGAAGACCAGGTGTTCGGTGCCGTCTACAAACGAGAGCGGAGAGGAAACAAGACTTTCTCTCCTCCGCTTAACGTTTTTGTTGAGCCTCCAACACCTTCAGAAATACAGAGGGAGGAAGACGATCTCACTCCTGCTGATGGTGAAAACAACATAGAGGGAGATGGAGAAATGATCGAGGAAGTAAACGACACTAGCAGTGACATTTTTAAAGTAGTGGAGCAGATGGAGATCAGGGAGGAAAATAACACACATGTGGAAGATTTGAACAGCTTCCCAGAAAGTGACAAAAACGAAGGTGTAGATGAGGTTCCTTGTCCTGTGTCTGATATTGTACGGCAGCAACCAGCAACAAAAGCAAAGAAAAGGATGGATAACCCTCTGCAACATGTGGACAGTGATTTGCAGGAGCAGGCTATGGCAAAAGCAGAAGGTTCTGAGCAAAAGAAAACTGACAAGCGGAAAGGTAAAAACGCAAAGCCGGAAAAAGGCAAACCTGCTCGAGTGCCGAAGCCCCTTGTTCTGGTGGGAGTTCAAAATGGAGAAACCAGTCCTCAGACTAGATCAGAGGAAGTACAAGTACAAATTGAGACTTACCCAAGCAGTGAGGACCAAGAAACGCCCGTCATGAGGAGCTCTAGGAGAAGTAGAAGACTTCAGCTCTTTGCAGAGGAAGTCCAGGAGGGCCGCAAGAAAGCAAACATGAAAGCAAAGGTACCTGAAAAAAAACGCAGCACTTCAAAGAAATCTGAAAACCCTAAAGGTGAGACACTGCATAATACGACACCTGAAAAAGACAGCGTGACAAAGGCAGCTACAAGAAACGGATGTGTTTTTGATGAAGATATAGGAGGAATTGAAAACTTGGAGTCTGATGAGAGAACATCTTTTGTGAAGCCAGCAGAAAATGTTACTGCAGAAGTGCCAAATCCTGAAACTGTGCCAGAAGCCGGTGCTGCTGCTGCTTGTGTCTCTTTGGTCTCCAGTTCTTCAAGTCCATCTGATGCAACAGTGGTAGGTCCAACGCTTGAAGACGACAAGCCAACAAATACTGTAACAAACAGTGTTCGGCTGGAGGCCTCGGTTTGCGAGACTAAATGTGCTGAGACGGAAAACGACGAAGACAAGAACGACAGTGAGGTGGACACAGAGCAGCTACTCAGGAGCTTCAAAGCCACTAAAAGGAAATCTTTCCATCTTGGTTGTCCAAATGTGAAAAGGAGCCGCCGTTCAGACAAAGACAACATGCAAGTTACTGAAGCAAAGGAGGACCGTCGTGATTGTTCTGATGCTCCAAAGACATCTGAGGCCACCAACCAAGAGGCTTTAAAAGACACTGAAAAGTCATCTTGTAGCGATTTCATCTCTCCTTCCATCTCACCCGTCCAGACGAGAAAAGCAGTCGCTGAGAAACCAGATCAAGTGGTGGTAGAAACCTCGATCCCTCACAGCAGTTGTTCAGATCAGGACAGTGCTGCTGGTGACCTCAGGAGCAGTCTTAGCAGTGCCCTCAGTCCAAACAAAGTGACAAAATCTGACAGAGAGAGTTCTCAACTCTCTGTTGTCCCTCAAATAGTGGACTCCGGGCTTCGCTTCACAGCTGTTGAATATGAAGAGCCAAACAAAGCCCCCAACTGCTCTCAAATCACAGACAGTCAGCTTGATTGTACGGCGAGGGATGCTGGCAAAGGAAACGAGATCAGAGATAGTTTAGCCAGAAATTCAGCTGCTACTGTAAACTACTGTTCAGACAACACAGCTGAACGTATCCCAATTGCAGACTCTTCATTAACCCCCGATGACCTGCTACCTCCATCCGTCGAAATAGTCCACAAAGCAACGACAAAAGGTCCCGGCAGTGGGGAGGTCAGCGGCCATTCCTCCATTAAGACCAACCCGAGGAAGACGAGAAGGGCTCAGAGGCTGGAGTCTTCATCCGAGTCCGATGGCAGCGGATCCAAAGAGGAATTACCAACTTTGACTCAGATCTTTGGGACGTCAGCTCGTCCCTCTGCTGTGAATCAGGATCAAATAGAGTCCTGTCAGGTTGCTTGTGTTACAGCTGATGCAGCAGAACCTTTGAGCCCCGACAGCGTTAACTCCAGCCAAGGGTCTGTGGACCTGTTCGGCACACCAGATGAATGTAAGTAGAGTCTCGGAAGCGGGAATAGTGTTTTTGGGTTTTCATTTTCCGGTTTGTTACCAGTGTGAACAGTACGTGCTCGCTCTGTTGTTTTCTTCTGCAAGAATGTATGCATCTTAAGATTATAATATAAACCCTAAAGTCTGTGGACACAAAGCAATAAGGTTCTTTTCCTCTCTGCAGGTGACGTCCCAGTAAATGACATCAGTGTTTCCTTTGAATCATCACAATTCTCAAGCGAAGTCCTTGTTACACAGGTAAATATAATTAGTCTTGCTTTGCTTTCATGTATAGTTGTATGAATGCACCCTTTGTTTTAAAAGAATGACAATTCAGTGTCTTATCAACACTTGGTCCTTGTCAAAGTGAGATTTTCCATTAATTCCAGCATTAGAATCATTTCTGCTTGGTCAGCATTACCTATTTTTCCCATTGTGCTTCCAGTGATGCACTGTCACTCTACGCCCCATAGAGGGCAGCCACCACATTTTCCCCGAACCAAACTGTCAGCGTCTGGATGACAGACTACCTCGCTCAGTGAAAAATGTCCCCCTCAGCAGCTTTCTAAATTGCATTTCATTTACGTTAGAGGAAATGCCGCCTAGAAGATGATTCTTGTTTTCTACCTCATCCGTCTTCCAGCGCGCTCACTTTTATCTGTCGACTGTATTTGACTGGGGAGTTCAAGTTTCACGCCCTGGGGTTTAGAGAGGGCCCAGGATTACACACAGCTGAGAATACAGAGCTCTGGTATTATTTCGTTGCGTGTCTGTGTACATAATCAATGCACCGGCACTGTAAACTCAAAGGAAGAAATTAAAATAATGAAAGCATTAGTCTAGCGAAGCAAAAACACACAGTTATAAACCAACAGGGTCTGTTTTTTTTCCAAAACAGCCTCAGTTGAAAATGCTGGTGTCACTTCCCCCTCCTATAAACATTACACAGTCATCTTCTCACTCACTTATGCTGCCATATGTTCTCCACAGTAACTGCTCTCTGGCACAAAAAGCACCAATTCCCTTCTAGTAATGAGTGTGGCTGTCGCTGACTGACAGTTGCTAATTGTTTTCATACATCAGTGCAAGATACCAAATATGCAGCCAGTGGGTGGTCCTCTTTTTTTTTTTTTTTTTTGCACATTAAATGTTGCTCCAGCTTTATTTTAATAAAGTGTATGAGTCATTTGTAATTTTCGGCTGCTGTACTTTACCGTTCTTTGCTCTTTCAGCAAAAGATAGAAATGCAGAAGGAGCTGGTGAGGCTGGAGAAGCTGATGGCTCTGGTGTCAGAGGTGCTTCAGGAGAAAGAGGAAAGTCCAGCGAAGGAAACCCATCAGGGCAGCAGAAGTACAGGTAAGCAGACGATGGATGTGTGGAGGTTTTTTTTTTTAGAGATGGAAAGATTTGCCAGTTAAGTGATGAGCAGATAATTATTTGTTTACGACATTTCTCGAGCAAAAATATAAAAACTCGCTGGTTCTAGTCTGTCATCTGTAAACATCTGCTGATTTTTATTAGTGTCCTCTGATATTAAATGTAATATCTTGGAGCTTTGAAAAAAAAAAGGAAGCTGAAGACATCGCCTTGGGCAGCAGGAAATGAGATGGGCATTTTTTTTTTTTTGTATTTTCTGACATTTAATTTGCAAAATAATTAGCAGAAGAAATAATCTGCAGATGATAAGTGGCATTAGTGGAATTATTGGCATTAGCGATATTCAACATGAAAGTTTTCCCACTGCTTAAATTGAATCAGAAGAGCAGATCAAAGCGAAGATACTCATATTTGTATCTTGTTTCAAAGCAATGTATCGTACCTCTGTATCCCCAAAACTGTTTATTTTAATAAAAGTTGTGGATTGGCTTTGTGCAAGCGTTCAAAGCTGATCAACTTTAATGGTAATTTCATGTCCTCAGGCACAGATGCTCACAAATCCCATCTCTGTGACCGGGATGCAGGCCAAGGGTCAGACGGGTAAGTAAAGCATGGAAGGGTGGATTCTGCATCGAGATTTTTACTCTTTCTGATCTGATTAGCCTGATATAGAAGGTAAACAAGAAACAAAAATAGATTTCAAAAAACGCTTTATCATATTGTTAAATGTGTAATGTATGACTATGAAGTGCAACGTTTATGAAGAGAAGAATTATTTGCCTGTGAATCTGCACTGAAAAGGTGATAAATAACACTGAAGAATAGTTGAATATAAAGATAAAAACCAGAAATGGCAAATGTATTTAAATAGCACATTTCTTTACATGGAACATTGAGACAAAATACGAGGTGTGTCAGAAAAGTTCCAGGACTGGTGTCACAAAAGTTATATTTAAATCCAAACTACGAGTTTTTGAAGCAATCCCCCTGGAGTCTATCACACTTTCCCAGCCATTTTGATGCCATCCACGTCTTACAAACGGGTCTCTTTGATAACCCCCTTGAGCTTGGAGAAGAGGAAACAATCCCACAGAGCAAGGTGGGCTGAGTAGGGAGGTTGCTCCAGCATGGAGATGTTCTTCTTCAGCCAGGAACTGTCGGATGCTCGAGGCGTTGTGAGCAGGCTTGTTGTCATGGTGAAGCAGCCACGACTTGTCCTGCCACAACTCTCACCTCTTCTGAACGAAGCAAACGCAGCAGGATCTCTTTGTAGACGTGCTGGATGATCGTTTGAAGGGGAAACTTGTAGTTTGGGTTTGACATATATCTTCTGTGACAGCAGTCCTGGAACTTTTCTGACACACCTCGTATAAAAATACAGGCTCAAATATGAGAAAATGGATAACAGAGACATAAATATTAGATTTTATCAATGAGGAAAGTACAGAATCTGATTCATCACAGCCCACCATCCATCAAACATACTGCCCAGCAATAAAATCTCAAAAAACATGAACGCAAAGTAGAGACTGTTACTCAAACACAGAGCTTCACATGCCACAAGGAACAAGTGCCACAAGCACACATGCATACACAGTAATCAATAATAGGCCTGGGAGAATGGGAACCTTTGAAGTTGCTTTTAAATGTGGAAAAGAAATTGTGATGGACGTCAAGTCAGCCTGCAGCCACATCACTGTCAGCACACAGTATTTTTAGCAATACAAAAATAGAAAAGTAGTTCATACCAAAGTCCATGTTTCTGCTTTGTTTTAGCTTTTATTGATTAGTTTTTGTGGAAAACTTAACCGTCATAGGCGTCATGTAAAACCACAGCAAATCTCAAATAAATGCCGTGTTAAGCTACATTTATGCAAGTTACATCATAACCGGCGGAGCGCAGTACAGTTTAGGGGTTATTTCGCGTCCCTCCCAGTTTTTGCAACCCGGCAGGTGTGGCGCATCTACAGAGTGGATGAACTGCAGGCACAAATCTGTGAGCAGGTCTGTCTCTACAGGCTTCTGCAATCCATCTCTGCGGGAGCGTAGGGACTCCCAGATGGCACAGGACCTCTAAGAGGGAGATCCTTGCAACAATTTGGAAAGAAAAGATCCAGAAAATTGTGGGGAAAAACTGCTATTGCGTTTGATTTTTTAAGTGGCATGCGTCCTGTACATTGTGTTGCTATTTCAGTCGTGTAGGCTGTATTTCACTCAGCAGCAAGTCAAGCACGCCTGAAGTGCCAGAATAAGAGGTTATGGCACTTCGCTGGCATCACGGTTCACACGCGCACTTACCGATGCGTCAAGCATACCAGCGGTCTGCGACAGGTCCAAGGCAAGTCGTGTCCAATGGGAGAGCTGGGCAACGTTTAAGTAACGTTATGTAACTTTGGCTGAGCAGTGACAACATGGCCACAAGTGGTACTTACAGGATTCTGGTGCTTTAAATTCTGCCGGCCCCTGAGTTGGGAGCGGTGAAGGGTACTGGAACAGACTGTAACAGCTCATGCAACAGTCGCAAAAAACATCTTCTGAATAGAAACCAGCAATTTTCCTGTCCGCAGCAACAGGCAACTTAATGTCGTGTGTGTGCTTCAGCTGAATAAATCTTGCTATTTTGCATAATGTTAGTTTACTTTGTACCTCTCAGCCTTCTAACTTTAGGATATTGAATCAAAGCACAAACAGCGATGAAAGAAAAAATCTAATTCCCACACTGAACTGTCACTATTTAGTAGATGCCAGTTTTGGAAGTTAGATTACAAGTTGAGTAAAGCAGACGTTATCTCTCGTGTTAAAATAGGCTGACTTGAATTGTGATTAAAAACTAGCAAGTTGACAGCTTTGCTTACGCAGCCAAGAAAGAGGTGCCAGTCTCTATTACATTTCAGTGAGTCATCTTCAAGTTTCTGAAGCTGTTTGAGGTAAAACAGTTGCACAACGTTGCTTTAAGTCCTCGTTGGCAGGAAATGCAGGAAGTGATTAGAGGAAGCTGATGATATCTCAGCTAAATGATTCTCAGGAATTGGACTGTTAGAAACCGGTTCTACGTGGTAGCTGCATTCCTGCAGAGAGGACATTCTTGATGTTGGCAATCCTCCGCACTCACCAATCTGATAGCGTGGTGATTAAAAGAGATAGAAGGCTTTGAAGCGACTTTTAGTCTCTCTGGTCTGATCAGTTTAGTATTCGTAGTAACCGTCAGTGAGTACAAAGTATGTTTAACTTTAAAGCAACAGTTCGATATGTTGGATTGAGGGGGAAAAATGCTCATTTGTCAATGATGATAAAGTTGTTTCATCCTGTTTCTGGTCTTTGTAGTAGACTGAGGTAACCAGCTTCTGACTGGAGCTTCAAATTTACCAGCCAGATATGAGTGTTATTGATCTTCTCATCAAACACTCTGCCAGCGAGTGAATAGGCATAAAATAAACTAAAATACACACAAAAAAAAGGGTAAGTGACTGACTGTGGAAGACATATGACAAAAAGTAGCAAAAGAGGTTTTCTTTGTTTGGTCAGCAGGTCAATTAACCAACCAGCTGCTGGCCTGATACTGACTTCAAATCACAATCTTCCAACTCAGACTTGACTTTAAAAACAAATGTAATTAAATAATCGCTGCCTCACTGCATCGGATTTCTGCCCTCAAGAGTGTTGTATACGTTGTTAATAAATTTTAAATGGAGTTATATTTCAACACAGCCATATTAAGCAGTACAATAACTGGAGCAAGTGGCATGTAATTGGTCTCTTTCAGTCTGTAACTGAAGGAGAAATTTAGCGAGTCTGTATGTGTGTGTGTGTGTGTTGTTGGGCTCGTTCTCAGAGGGTGATGCATCTCAAGAGGACAGGCGGATAATCTCGCTAATGAACCCAGAATCTGCTTATGCTGTGGAGAATAAAAAAGTCATTACTGACTGCATCTTATATGTCATTTAGAGCACTTAGAGGGAAACTTGTGTTGCCACAGTAATTTATCTCTCCCGCCTGAATGCCGCCTCCCCCCCAACCTCTCGCCTCGCAGGGTTCTAAGTGCTGTCCTCCGGGCAAGAAAAAGGGAGCGATGGAAAGAGTTGGCGGATGAAAACACGGAGGGACTTAGTCGTACAAGTTCTACATTTAAAAAAAAGCACGTATTCCAGGAGTGCAATAGATGAAATTGAAAAGAATAGCTGGCACTGGAGTATAAGTTTTCAATGAGCTGATATCGCTTTGGGACAGGTAATTTAAGTGCAGGCATGCTGCCAGTTATCAGTAATGCCGGCGCCTTTGAGTGAAGCATAAAAACCTAAAGAAAACAAAGTAGGAGAACTTCCAAAACTTTATTTTTTTTTAATATTAGTTATGGAATATATTGGATGACGTGTCACTGGAATCAACTGTCTGACTCAGTGTATGCAGTCCACATTTAAAGTGTTACTACAGCGATGGCTCATGCAATTACTACTTCTGTTGTCTTTAAAAGGCACAATTACTCCGAGCTGAAATCACCGTTATTCACCTGCGTGGCTACAGAACCTAATCCTGCAATTACAACATAATCCAGCACAGTTATGATCAGAAATGTGCAGACAAGGTGAACCAGGATGTGTTATTATGGCCAAACTGTGTCACATGTTCCTGATCTCACTGATGACGTGTTTCTCTCGCTAAAGGTTAAAAAAAAAAAAAGAAGCAAACTGCAGTACAAGCCTATCAGAGCATCATCGGGGAAGTATTTACAACTCCGTGTTACACAATAAAACTTAATTGCAGTGTGTGCCTGCTTGTCCAGTTAGTTTCTGCCTGCTGAAAGTATGAACAGGGCTGCACTGTTCATCTTTCATGGATGCAAACAAACTCAAAATTAAAATGTGGAGCCATCACAGTCATTGTTTTATTTCAGCTGTGCGCAAGTGGAGTGTGTCCCTTTTCTTATTACTTTCTGCACTGTGTCCTAAAGTGAACCTACACTCAAATTCTTAAAGCCAAAGTAATATATGTATATAAAACCCAGGCCACGGCTTTCCTTTGATGTTTCCCCGCTGTATAGTGTTTTATATCATATCCACTGCGAGTGATGTCCAGTCCGGTCTGGAACTGTTGTGGTACAGAGGTCTGGACAGGATGCGGTGAGCCTCAGCAAAACATTGAAGTTCAGCTTGTCTGGATGAAGTTAAATATAAGAAGATTCAATCAGAAATTGATCAGGCTTTGCCGTCGCCACCCATCCTGTTTGAAGATGTATAAAAATACCCTGCTCTGAATAATAATGTGTGTCTGATATGAGTTTTCCATTAAAAAAGTTCAATCATCTGGCTAGAAAAATTCATAAAAATAACATCCACACCTTCCTCCTTATTGAAGAATCCAGAATCTATGCCTGTGCAAATATTTTGCATTTCAAAAGTTCACCCACTGGATACAAGATGTCACCGTATATCACTGAAGCTCCTATCTGCAGTGCAGGCTTCAAGTTTCCTGCTTTAAACTTTTCCCCAGATTATTCTGAGAACTGCCTAGTTTCAAACCCTGAACATATAGTATATGATTCGGTACATGATGGTCAAACATACAAGAGAGGTAGCGTTGACCCAAACTTGTTTGAGGAAGACGGGGGACTTTACAATCACCACTACAAAGAAAAGCAGTGTTTAGCCCCAGCCTGGCAGAGCAGATTGGGTCATCCCTGAAACTGTTGCAGCATTCTGTTAAAGTTCATGTGCACGTCTTTTTTTTTTTGCAGGAAGCATGTTCCAGACGCAGGACGAGATCTAAATGCAGGAACTTCTGATGGCAAAGGGGTCACCGAGCGTGGCGGCATCACAGAGACGGGTAAGGCTGATTTGGGTTTGTCTGACTGTGTGGTTTACATTTTTTTGTTTTTTTTTTAAAGAGAAATGTGTCTCGTCAGATAAAATTCTGTTTTTGCCTGCCCTACATGCGCAGGGTTGAGCGTCAAAGGCACCGGAGGCTCCAAAATGTCCGGTTTAGCTTCAGTAGCCAAGACGCTAAAGAACTGCAGTTCACCATCAGACGGGCAAGACGACAAAGAAAACGACAGTCCCCCGAAAGACGGATGTAAAGCTAAGCTGGTGCTGGTGTCGTCTGGATTGGGCCCCAGTGAGCAGGTGCATGTTCGGTCAATCGATATGTTTACTGAGCGCAGCCGTTTGTCGAATTGCACAAACCAATTAGATGTTTTTTGCCAACAGATAATGGTGAAAAAGTTTGCAAAGAGAGTCGGAGCCCGTGTGGTTTCCCAGGTGACGGCAGATGTGACTCATATCATAATGCAAACAGGTGAGTCTGTCCATCAGACGTGATGCATTGACCTGCTAGAGTTTAGTCAGCGGTTCAAAATTTGCTCGATGCGCAACGGAGCAATTAAATTAAAGTTTCCCTTTAATTCTAGTTTTTACCCGTTTCCTCGAGCACGAACATTTGCATTTGCAGAAGTCGGTTTTCTTTCTCCGTGTAGTTACAGCTTGTTTTGTGCGTCTTATAAAGCGCTCCTTAGAGATAAGCTCTCTGTTGCTCCCTCACCCACACACTCTCTCCTCCATTCATCCGCTTGTTGCTAATTACCCTCTCTGATAGATTATTTTTAATTTCAAAGCTCGCTGTCTCCAAAGCACCATATTAACTGTCACTGTTTAAGGAGTCTTTTTTTTTTTCTTTCTTTTTTTTTTTAATGGCAGCTGTTTCCCAGGCAACAGAAACACAGGAATGTTAGGTCTCTTGATCCTTGTGGTTAAAGGTTGGAAAGGAACAGTAGGTCTCGCATTATAGCCATTAGCAGGAATTAATTGGAAATCATTCAAAATGTATTTTCTTCAAGCAACATCAATAGCAAGCACTTAAAGGTTTAATGAGTGGTGACCAAATTGTTGGATTTGATTAAATTTGAAGAGCCCGAAACAGCAAAACTATTGAGTATTAAACCCTCTGTTTCACACATTATTATTATACCACAATGGGGAAAAATACTTTAATTACCTTATTTATGTTTTGACAAATAATATGTTTTGGTAGATTGAATGCCATATGAGAACAATGTGCAACAATAAAGTGGTATATTTGAATTGATTAATAAATGAAAAATGAAATTCAAACAACATCACACAAGTTACTTAAATAGGTTTAAGCTGCATGGTGAATCTCTCCAAGAAGTACAGTAGACTTGACTGTCTTTTGCTGTCTTTGTATCCCATTTTAGTTACATGTCAAGGTTTATGACAGACAAACACTAGTCTCGTCTAACAATATTCCCAATCAGCTATCCTCCTTTGTGTGAGGTACAGACGTGACTCGATAATCCGACCCTTAACAATCTAAAAACCTGCTATCTGACAGGTTTTTAGGAAAAACAAATGGAACCCATTAAAAACAGCCTTAACATAGCGACAGCCTTGGATTCTGACTCTGACATGACGTTTTATGTCACCAATCAGGATAACGGCGTATTATCTGACTGAACAATCCCACACATTGGCTACGTTCAGACTGCAGGACTTGATGCTCAACTCGGATTTTTTTGTGAAATCCGATTTTTTTGCGAGTTTGTTCACATTTCCAGTTTAATGCGACTTGTATGTGATCTGCTGTGTGAACTTCATGCAACCCAAAAGTGTCCCGCATACGCAGAAGAGGACACGACGACGTCACACGCAGCGAGCGTGCTCAGTATTTGTGGAAGTAAACATGGATGGTAATGGTGGGGCATATCTGCCACTCCCCCGCCGCCACCGATGGTGGAAACAGAACTGTGAGCGCTAACTAAAGTAGCATCAGCAGCAATTACTGCCTGTGCGTTCCGGCCACTTCCACCTCATCGGAGCACTCCCCCGGGGTGGAAGTGTCCCCCGACCACGCCAAATTGTCATCATTAATTGGGCCCAAATATCCGGAGCCCAGAAAGTGCTATTTGGACCAGCCCTACTAGTTATTATAACAACTATGAACAATAATTAACAACAAATGAGCCTTCAAGCATCAAGCCCGCCTTGTATCTCGACCTCCGTCTTGACAATCCGACAGCTTTGCTATCCGACATAAAAGAAGGTTTTACATTTAGTGTCGGGTTATCGAGTCACGACTGTATTTCTAAACACCAGAGAAGAAAACTGTAGAATGTTTTGCTTTAAGCCATCAGAAAAAAAACTTAGGTCGTTTAATTTTCCAAAAGTTTTACATTTAAAGACTGGCTTACAGCTATAAGTTAAAGGAAGTGTCTCTGTACTTGTAAAGGTTATGATATGGAACAGCATTTAGTTCTTTACAGGACCTTACCGCCAAGATTTACCCAAGTAATTAAAACGTAATCAGTATAAATGATAACATAGTAAAAATGTAATTTCTGGGAAGAGTGGGCAGTGGTTACAGCCATATATTGTGCTTTTTTTAACGCTCTCAGCATCATCTCTAAGCGCACACAGGGCTTCTCATCCACACATAATGATCATTTGCGTCTATGTACTATAATATACTGTGTGCTCATTCTGTGTCGCTGTCATGTCAAGTCTTCTTCTTCCTTATCCGACTCGTCTCCTCCAGACCAGCGCCGCCACTTTGTTTAAACCTCAAGAGACACTTGGTGCATTCTTCATAGATCTTTGTATATTTTTACAGTAACTTCATGAAGTAACTCCAGAAATGTCAGAGCTTTAAATCAAAATGTGCTATTTCTGAATCTACAAAACGCAGCCATCAGTAAAGCTGCACCTCATTTATATCACTTGAGTTTCCAAATCAAGGCGCGTGAGAGGGCACGCATGTATTCTTGCACATCTTTTCACACATCTCTGCTTGTTCTCTTTTCTTTGCCAGATGAACAACTGGTATGCGAGCGCACGCTGAAGTACTTCCTTGGAATTGCAGGCAGGAAGTGGGTGGTGGGCTTCCAGTGTAAGTACGACTTTACTTTTATTGTCGAGGCGCTATCGCTGATGTGCTTGGAAACAGCGACGACTAAATACAAAAACAGCGTGATGTGGGGGGACAGGCTGGAATAAAAGGGCCGTTACATAATACAGGAGCCACCAGGATAGTGTTTGTGCTTGTGACAATAAGCTCATAAGTTTCTGTTCTTCTCTCCTCTCCGCAGGGATTACTGAGTGCTTCAAACAAAAGAAACTCTTAGATGAGGTACGCTCGCCTGTGTGCTCCTTGAATTTGCGCGCCGGTGATTTCCAGTTTCATCTCTCCACGTCTCGATGTTGAATTAAGGCTGCATGATGAATCTTTCCATGCGGTTTGCTGTGATACCTCATAAATTATTTGTCATCCATTTGCTTTAGCAATCCCTACATCTGGTTCTTTGATATGCCGCTGTAATCCTTTGCCAGGATTTGTTTAGCACCGCCATTAATTTAAAAATTATTTCTCCGTCAGCTGTGCTGGTTTATAAGCTTTTTCATGCATCATGTAGTGTATGTAAAAATGCACTCATTACAATTAAAAGATGAACACTGTCAAATTGAAGAATGTTTAGTGTATTCTTAAAAGCATGCCTGGCTCTTGGAAAAAAAATGAAATAACTATTAGCAGCCTCCTCATTTACATTTAGTCGCTGTAGCAGATGAGACCGAATAATTGCTTGACTTATTTGAAAGATAATACGAGCGGAAAGTTAAACATCACTGTGACAGATGCACGTACACATGATGAAGTCGTTCCACTTTGTTTGTTTACAGAGTCCATTTGAGGTGAGAGGGGATGTGGTGAATGGATCCAACCACCAGGGTCCCTGGAGGGCTCGTACCACTGACGACAGTAATGTGAGTCCCTTATACACTGAGCAGGACTGTCAAATATATAATGTTTAATTAGCGTAAGCAGCCTCTGCAGCTAAACGCTACAGTCAGTTTTTTTACTTGATGTTTGCATTTTAAAAATAATATTTCCAAGTTTTGTTGGTTTTTGGATTTTTTTTTTTCTTTCTAGAATCTAGGTTAGGAAGATGTGTTTTAAATAAAAAAAGAAAAGAACCGTGTCCTCATACGGCTTGCAAGTTCAGGGATAGCTACAAATATTTTTTCATGACATTAGCAAGCTGTCACAGTTTAATTTAAAGATAAAGCATCTTTTATTAAGTTTAACCCTCAAAGGCTCACCTAATCCCCCTCTTTACAGCCGTGTGGGTTTGATCATATTGGACTGACGGGAGAACATGCAAACTCCATGCAGAAAGATCCCGGGTGTCCTCACCAGGACGCGAACCGGTGACCTTCTTATTGTGAGGCAACGATGCTAACTACCGAGCCACCTTGCAGCCCATAAAGAAACCTGTTGTGAAATAAATAAAGTTGTTTAAAATTGGGGAGAAACTGTTCATCAACGACCTGCCCTCCCATCGAAAAGCTAACTTAGACGACAGGTTTTAAGGGCCTTTCAGGGTCCCAAAACATCAACTCTGTAACTTAGTCAAGTTGGATACCTGATAGATTGGTTGGGGTGTCTACCATATGGGCGCTAATCTCTTCAAGCATTAATTCCCTGGTTCAGTTCCCAGCCAGCCTCTTCCCACTGTCCCTGTCCAATAAAGGCAAACATACCAACAAAAAGAGACATAGATGGTCCTGAATCACTCAACAGTGATGTGGTTGTTGCTTCTGCTAACGATAGGAAAGTGTTTCCAACTGTCTGAAAATCAGTTAAAGGCCAGTTCAGCTCTTTGTGCATTTATTTAATTTTAGTTTACTGGTTTTCAAAAAATCCATCAGCGACCTTTATAGAAAGCAAATCGAGCATTTGTTCTTGCAAATTTCGCCTCTTAGACTCTGCCGTCTCAGGTAAAGGTGTTGAAAGAGTTCATGTTTGTGTTGGAGTGAGAGAACTGCCGATCATGTGGCTGGGAAAGTTTTCTGTATCAATCCAACCTGTAGTGTGGCGACATCACAACAAGGCAAGTCAAAAATGTGAGATAACGTACACTGCAACCATATGGCATTTTTAAAACACACTCAACAAATTCTGGGTCTATTACAAACATAAATTCCTTTGATATTTGCGGGCATTTTATTAAATTGGACAGTGGAGAGATTTAATGTAATTAAAGAGAGTCCTTTTAAATATTAATCCATTTTTATTTTTTATTTTTTGCACGCATATAAATGCTTGTTTTTGTGGTCTTATCTTCTAGCATACGTCCAAGGCATTTATGTCTGTTAGCGTGCACTATCCCTGTTAAATCAACCGACAAAACAATTAAATAAACAAAAATAAAATAGACAGGAAATGCGCAGAGAAAAGGGGAATAACATGCACCGACCGGCCCACTGGACTGTATTCATCTTGCTGCTATTTAGGAGTAATTTAACAGCAAACTAAAGCAACGCTGCGAGCCACAAACAGAGCTTAACACACAACGTCTAGTAAAGAGCGACTTCTCTTTCTCACCATATAAATGCTACTTGTGCTCCATTTCATTCACCCTTCGGCCTTTTATCATTATTTTTTCCCACACTTTCTATCAGATTATCATCCCTCTGTAGATTGCGCATCTTGTGTAGTGACACCAGGCAGCCAATTACTCTTAACATGTCAACAACAGTCTTTCTGAAGAACCGACTGATTTGATATTAGTTGAAGTGCAGTTGAAAAGAAAAACCGAATCCACACATTAACTCATTGACAGTTATGGCCGTCGCCATTGTTTGTGAAAGCACGATTTCTGGCCATGAAGAACTGTCTGATTCTGTGAAGAAAATCAAATAAAATGTCCCAATTACAAGCAGCACTTGAACTTGTTTCTTCCTATTGCACCAGCCTCTTAGCTCGAGCCCTGTTGTGAAACCTAATTGTAATTTTCCTCTTGGTGTAAGGCCAGCAGGACCGGTTCTGTTGCCACTGAGGGGGAAAATTAGAAATGGCTAGATGTCATGTTGGCCGTATCGCTGCCTTTGAAGAACCTCCGCTAATTGAATTAGCTAGTAATTTCAGGCTTATTTAAGTGGCTTCAACGCAGCGCCGGCACTTTGATGGAGCCAGACAGATTGTCCTGTTCATATTCACTTTCTGTCACCTGCACCGGTCTGACAAACAGACTAACAGATGAAATGGAGAGGCAGGGGAGTCTGTCACCAGAATGTTGATGCTCAGGAAATCGCTCAAAGAAACTCCGAGCGTGTGTGTGTGTGTGTGTGTGCACGTTATCACACTCTCATACCTCCTGAAGGACATTAGGTGTTGTCTAAATTAAAAATCTGTAACAGAAACACTTTTTCATCTCACCAAGCACCTCTGGCTAATGATCATTATGGACATACGGGGAGGCGAGGAGAAATTAGTATTTCTTTCTCCAGCCGCACGGACATTTATCTTCCAAACGCTTCCATCCAGCCAAACACTGTATATGAGATTGTGATATGAGTTGCACATTTCCTTTTCTGTGGTTACCATGGTTCAAGGAAACAAGTTTACACTCCCATTTCAAGCAAGCTTATTGACCCTGAGTGCAATAAAACAATATGTCCCCGTTGCCGGGCGGGTCGTTTTTCTTTGCGTGCTTTAAGCGTGATATTACCTTTCTGAAGGCGGCTTTTTTTTTTTTTTTTCCTCCCGTTAGACTCGTCCCTGAATTTACAGTATAACAGTGAGAGCAAAAAAAAATGAACAAGGTCTAGAGGCTTTATTTTACACGGTAAGTGAGGAAGCTCTGCTGTAAATTGCAGGACGCTTGGAGAAGTGCTTCAGCTCTCCCAGTGTAACCCTTATACAGGTGACGAGTTCAGAAACACACTCGGCTGTAATGGTAAATGCAGCGATGACTGCTTTCATGCGGCGCTCTTGAACATTCTCCGAGGGTTAAATTCACTGTATACGTGTCTTCTTTTGCCTGGCTTTAGAAAATGCGTTGAGTTTTTCAAACATGCCACAGTCGGATATTCTGTTCTTACCTTGCATCTTGTTTTTGCCTTCAGCTGCTCATGAGGGGCTTCAAGATCTGCTTCCAAGGGCCGTTTACAGACATGACGACAGGTAGGAAAAAAACCTAAACAATAACATAATGTGCATGAGAAATGGCTTCTTTGGTTTTTGTGTGCTGGTCATTGTTGTGTCAGTATCTACACCTGTACAGCTGTTAGAGAGACTTTATTTAGTATATTAGTTCTGAAATTAGGGAGTTTTAAACCTGCAGTATGGAAATTCTCCACCTTTTGACAGTAGGAATCACTGATTACTAGGGGTGGGACTTTAACGCGTTAATTACGATTAATTAATTACAACAGAAATAACGCTAGCTATCCAGGACTGCTAGCGCTAACAGCTCCGGCGGTTTCTGTGCTCGCTACAACATGCTTTGCATTCAGGTGGTACCGTCAGCTTGATGTATGTCAGTGGGATGCAAATTCTTTTGTGCACAAGTTGCACAAAATCACGCTCTTGTCAAGCCTTCCATCAGGCAGTTTTTTTAAAATGAAACTTTCCCTCCATCAGTCCAAGCGATGCACTCTCATCAGATTCCTCCATGTTTGTTGTTGTTAGCGTAGCGCTGATGCATCTGGTGCATCAGTGTGATCGGTGGGCCATGAAATCGGTCACTGACAAACCTTCCGTGTTTCCTGGATGTAAACTGTGATTACATTTTTTTTAACGTGTTATTTTTGTTGGAATTAATTAATCGTAATTAACGCTTTAAAGTGTATTAGGGGGGACTTTAACGCGTTATTTTTGCGTTAATTAGCGCGTTAAAGTCCCACCCCTATTAATTACACAGACAGAGTCGACACATACTTGTGATATGTGCCTCACCATCAACTGCTTTTATTTATAAAATATAATCTCTCCTCAGAACTCCAGATTCCTTCTTAACCTGGAGAATCAGAAACTGTTCTCGGACGCCCACCATAAACTAAGGCTGTACAACCCCGATCCAAGCCCTGTTCTAAACGGGCTGTTTCACTGTCTGTAGCTTTAAACCACACGGACCACACAGACTTTCTATTGCTTCTCTCTAAGCGATCATGTCAAATGGAAGTTTTGACAAATTAACAGCTGTTGCTTTAACTTGTGTATCGTGAGTTTACGGGATGACGTAGCTTCGAAAATGGCTAAAGTGGCAGTCGTGGAGTCTCAATGCAGTTCAGTCACTATTTCATACAGACACAAAACAATATGTAAACACTGCTTCCAACTTCCTGCAAACTTATCTCTGGCATTTTTATACTGCAGCTTATCAGTCATCCAATTTTACGATGTCATCACTGAAAGGAGCTTATTTTGAAAATGTTAAGAACAAAACTGTCATTGCTGTTAGAAGGACTCATTGTGGTGTCTGAAGTTACCCCTTTGGGATCAAACTGCATTTTTAATACATTACAGTGTGTGTGTGTGAAGACGCATCATAAAAATACTTGTTTTACTGCGTAGACATCTCTAATTACTTCAGTTTTCTCTCTCGCTGTGGTTCGGCCTTGTTGGGTTTGTCTGAGGAACACAGCACTAAAGCGCCACAGGAATTGCAACATCTAAATGATGTCAACGATTACTGACCACAAAAATGAAGATTTAAAAACTTCCATTTGCATATTCTTTGAACAGTAAGATGGCTAAAAACTGAAGGGGTTTTTGTCATTAAATTATTGCGCTGTTTGCACACTTCTTTCTTCTCTCAAGAATTCGTTCTCTCAGCCACCTTTGTTCCGTCTCATTGATGTCTCCGTCCTGCAGGACTCCGATAGACACCCACCTTGCTTTCAAGAGAAAAACATGACAATAGGAAGAAGGACAGTGAAAGTAGCTCACACAGCTTTTGACTGACACCGAGACTAGCTTGAAACCTGTGCTGTTTTTAACCCCAGTCATTTTGGCACCGGAGAACAATGACGAGTGATTCCATCGCGTGGGTGGACTGAATACCGACTTAGGAGTTGTGTGAGGCGTTTTTTGGTGCGGTGTTGTCACATTGCACTGCGGTTGCTATGGAGCCAGTTAGCTGCCTGGGAAATTATTTTTTTCTGAAAAGAAAGCGGAAATGAGCTTTCACTGGTGGACAAAATGCCTCTGCGGTTCTCTCTTTTCCAAAGATACAATGGAGCTTACATTTTTAACTGAAGCTTAGCTTGTGAACTTTGGTCCTCAGGATTTAAACTGTTAATGACCTTCAAGTTGAAGGTTAAAAGGGGTTCAGTTGTCCTTTGTACAAAGCACTATTTTGCTTTATCCTTCAAACACAGCTGAATGCACAGATAGATCATGGGTGAAGGTCTCGGGAGTCGCATTGCTTAAAAACCCACAAGACAGCTTTCTTAGGTTTTCTTCTTCCTGGGGCTCTTTAAGTGCTCATGCAGCATCCACCCGCTGCCTGCTGGATCGATGAAGCTTTGCTAATGGGTTGACATCTGTGAGCTAGCGTGAGTAGTTTAAAGACTTTCTTTTACATGGTACAAACACGAGGATGGAGTCTGTTTTCTTCAACCCAACAAGATTTCATTCATTATTTAACCACACAAGTTTCCGTATGATACGTGATGAGGTTATTCGCCGCCTATACGACAAGTTCACTTATATGTGAGATACCACACAAGTGAAGCTGTTAATTCCCCTTTTTTTTGAGCGTGTTTGGCATTTCCAGGCACATTCTTCTAAACCTCGTTGAATGTGCGCTGATTGATTGAGTGAAATGCACACATTGCTGTGAGTGGTATTGACCTGTTTTCCGTCCCTGTGATCAAAGGAAGTCTGAGCTTGAAGTACGTCTGCTCTGTATCCCCTCGGGGTTAAAGGGATGAAAGCAGAAAGAATAAAATTTAGGTGTAGCCGCTGATAACTTTTTTTTTTGAGCACCCCAAACAGGCCGTGTTTACCTTCAGCAATTTTCTATGTGTTTATCGCAGGTGAAATGGAGTGGATGGTGGAGCTCTGTGGGGCAGCTGTAGTTAGAGATCCACTTTTCCTCGACAGTAAACAGGTAAGAGTGTCTATCGTCTCCCACTTGAAAACATTAAAAAACAAAGAGTCGCTGTTGTGCTGCCTTCATGCTGGTCAGTATAATTTTACAAATACAATCTATGCTTGTTTAAAAATCAGACCAGAGGGCTGAACTAACAGAGGGAGACCTGTCAACTATCCTCATTATCTTCTTCAAGTTCTTCCCAAGTGCTGTATGAGATATTTCATTTGGAATGCTTCCAGTTCGCTTGTGATTTTCATGATGGACACACAAATTATTACCGAAAAGAACAAGCAATAGTCAGTGAAGTGCCTCCCACAACAACTCTTTGCCTCACAAAGCTGCATTAATCCCTGTTATTTGTCTCTTCGGTTTGATTTTATTTTTGAAAATTGCACATTAATGCCGTGTTGCTCAGCAAATGTGGCATTTATTATGGCTAAAAAGGCGAAATTAAATGCAGTGCATTCAGAAAGTATTCGAACCCCATCACTTGTTTTCACATTTTGTTATGTTGCAGTCTTATGCTAAAATCATTTAAATCCACAATTTTCTTTTATTTTCTATCAACAACACTCAGTACCCCATTAAGACCAGAATGACAAGAACAGGGTTTTTTAGACATTTTTGCAAATTTATGTAAAAAGAAAAACTGAAAGATTACACTGACATAAGTGTTCCGACCCTTTACTCAGTGTTTAGTTGAAGCACCTGGGACGGCAATTACATCCTCACATCATCTTGGTAGATATAAAACATGAACTAGCTAGTGAAATGCATTTCTATAAAGATAATAAGCAATGAGCCCATAATTTCCCCCTTTTCAATACAGCTCGAGCCCGCCACCAGCTAAAATCAGTCAGCTTTTACTTTTTGGTTATGATGCAACAAGCTTGGCAGTCATCCTGGATGGGGACTGTCAGTGGGCAGCCATTTTCAGGTCTCTTTAGGGATGTTTAAGTCAGGGCTTTTGCTGGGCCTTTAGGGACATTTACAGAATTGTCCCTAAACCATGTAACAACCCTCATCCTGGCTGTGTGCTCATTGTCCTGTTGGATGCCGAAACTTCAGCCCAGGCTCCCTTCAGCTTCCCCTTGAGCGGTCTCCCTGTCCCTACTCATGTTAACCAGCCCACAGGATGATGCTGCCACCGCCGTGTTTCACCATTGGACTGGGGATGAGCATGGCCCTCAAAACGGAGGCCAAACATTTCAGGCCTTTTTTTAATCAAACTAGAGAACCTTGTTCGTCACAATCTTTCTGTGCTTTTTCATCAACAAACTCCAAAGTGGGTGTTCATGTGCTTTTCACGGAGGACAAACTTCCATCTGGCCACTCCACCATAAACCCCAGATCTGTGGAGTGCTGCAGTGATGGTTGTCCTTCTGGAAGTTTCTCTTGTCTCCAAGCCAAACCTCTGGCACTGAGACGGAGTGATCATTGGGTTCCTTGTTACCTGTTCCCCAGTAGTAGAGTCTTTTGTTGTTTCAAATATTCTTTTTGTAGGAGTTATGGAGGCTGCTGTAGTTTCATGCTAAAAAGCAAAAAAACACAGTCAAGATGTAGAAATATCTCAAAGGTGATCAAGAGTTAAATTTTAAGTGTCATAGCAAATAGTGTGAACACTGCAAGTGTTTCTGTAGTTCTGTTTTATCTTCGTCAGTATTCGTTGTTGCACGTTGACTGATTTTAAAATTGCAGCTATTTTAGAATTGGACAAAAGATGAAGAGGTGAAGGGTTCTGAGTACTTTCTGAATGCACTGTTTTAGTGACAATCACAGATGCAGTAACCACAGTCAGTTTATAATCAACAGTCCTGTCCAGTAACTTTATAATGCTACCAGAGAAACAGACAGTGAAGGGTGAAAACACAACTTTGTTCTGATTTGACGGGCTCTAAGTATATACTGCGTGGTATAATTGTTGTTTATTTTTGACACTAAACTGGTATTATTATTATTTTTTATCCTTTTGTTTCACAGAAGTCCCATCAGCTGGTCATCGTGCAGCCTCGATCAGACTCGTCGTCTTCCACGTACAGCAGTGAGTCTCATCTGAAAACAACATTTAATTATCACCTTCTATTTTTACGCAGGACCACAAAATAACACACTTTAGTTATTCTCACTTAGTTCCTGTCTTTCTCACTCACCCACACGCATGTGCACACGCATAGTACCAACGCACGCCCGCACATACGAGCCTCATAAAGATATGGATTAGACTGACAGCAGCAGCAGGGGCCGGTTACATAATTCATGCACAGCTTCACCCAGAGGTTTGAGCTGACACAGGGGCAGACTGATGGACAGTCACACAGAAGCCGTGTGTGATGGGTAATGTACCAGCAGTGACTAATAATATTCTACCAGGCAAAGATTGTGTATAAGTCTTGATATTGTACAGCAGCAGCAACACGTTGCTTTTAAAATAAGTGCTAACATTTGATTTTCCAGGTGAATAATGGATGGAAAAGATGTTACAAAACGAGTACCTGTTTGTTTCCCATATTGCAATCAGACTCTTTAAAAAAAAAAAAAAAAGCCATTAACACTTGATGAAGAAACAAAAGGGCGGGGAGGCTATTTTTGAATAACTGAAGGAACATAACTGAGGCAATTAAGATAATTTATTGAAGCTTGTCTGCACTACCCAGTTAGACGGTTCTTTTAGGAGGCGGAAGGCGCCTTAATGGCAGTTTTTTTTTCTTTTAAGCAAGCCAGCTAGATTAGCAGGAGACAGTTTGTTCCAAAGTTGCTTCTCTGTTTGCATGTTTGTTTACATTTGTGGGATTATCTTAAATCAAGCAGTTGTGACCAAAAAATACATGTTTGCAAAGTGGCAGCATATCAACAGCTTTCATACCAACACGAGCATCATTAGCTGGTACAGTCGTGACTTGATAATCCGACGCTAAATGTAAAACCTTCTTTTATGTCGGATAGCAAGGTTGTCGGATTGTCAAGACGGAGGTCGAGATACAAGGAGGGCTTGATGCTGGAAGGCTCATTTGTTGTTAATATTTATTGTTTATAGTTGTTATAATAACTAGTAGGGCAAGTCCGGATAGCACTTTCTGGTCTCTGGATATTCAGGCCCAATTAATGAGATATCCGAACATTCGGTGAGGTCGAACGGGGACCCGTCGGAGCGCTCCGATAGGGTGGAAGTGGCCGGAACGCACAGGCAGTACGTGGCGGTGGGGGAGTGGCAAATACGCTCCACATTACCATCCCTGTTTACTTCCGTAAACACTGAGCACGCTCACTGCGTGTGACGTCGTCGTGTCCTCTTCTGTGCATGCGGGACACTTTTGGATCGTATGAAGTTCACACAGCAGATCACATACAAGTCACATTTAATTGGAAATTTGAGCGAATTCACAAAAAAATCCAAATTGAGTGTTAAGTCCTGCAGTCTGAACGTAGCCAATCTGTGGGCTTGTTCAGTCAGATAATACGCCGTTATCCTGATTTGTGACATAAAACGTCATGTCGGAGTCGGAATCCAAGGCTGTCGCTATGTTAAGGCTAAGGCTTTGATAGCAAGGTTTTGTTAAGGGTTGGATTATTGAGTCACGACTGTATTTGCTCGTGCATAATAAACTGCATTATTGTAATTTAGACACGTGATCTGTTGACTTTTGTTGGTAAATTCCAGTATGTCTCGAAGATTTTTATTTATTGTTTAAATGGCAGACGTGTCACAAGTGTGAAGGTGTTTCTCCAAAGTCATCCTGCACTTGTAGGAGAACTGTGCTGTACCCGTGTGCTGTGCTGATTTCAACATATTTAATATTTCATTGAAAATGTTATAAATATGCAACTATAGGTTGTGTGCTGCCTTCATGGAGCTTCAAAGTTAAACCATCATTTTTCATTTTAGCGTTTTGTTGCTGTTGTTGTTGGACAGGCTCCCCAATGACGATAAAAGCTATTATTTGCACAACAGACGACGAACATTTTCACGATTGCAAATCCCGCCGAAATGTCGTCTAAATGTAAACATTCAATCAGCATCTTTAAATAGTCGGGGGAGAAACTCTCACTTTTGAACTTGTCCTTTTATCGGTGGTCGTGGTTGTTTTTTTCACCGCGTACAGTCAATTATGAATTTTTTCGGCACTGTTAAAGCTCCCTCAAATGAAAACGTCCTTTTCCATTCTGTCCTCATATTATTATCACCTCACAAAAGGTTTTGATGTTTGAAAAAAAAAAAATCCCATGAAAGCACCATCGCAACTGTCGTCCTCCAAATATGTTGACATTCACAGCAAGGTTATACCAATTTAATCCTCTTTTAGAAAAGGCCTGTTTTAGGATAAAGTTAGTAAATGTGTGTATACATATTAAGCTAAATATCAATTTACTGTATTCCTGAGTGGGTATAATTATGTTCAAGGTCAGATTTCTTGTGTAGCGGATGGACGGTCCCCACAAGCACAGACACTGGGTCTGCCGGGCATGTCGGTGTACCTGTCTGTCCATTAGTGCATGGATTTTGGTGCGTTTGTGGCCCCTTGCGAGGACCGTTCGGAGAGTGACAGAACGCTGAAATGGCAGACGCTGCCAACCAAAATGAGACAGGTTCCCAACAAGAGCGAGGAGAGTGACTTGCCAGGAAAGCAAGTGTGAAGGAAGTTAGGCAGCAGAAAAATGGCCAAGAGAAAATGTCAGATTGTAGCGCGGGGAATGTCAAAACAAGCTGGCCACAGAAGAGAGAGGCTGACAGTTTGAAACGGAGGGAGCAAGTGGCTGTGAGTCTCCCCCCAACTCCTTCCTCTTGGCATCCTAATTTGCACTGCTGCATATTTAATGCAGCTTTTCCTCTTGCGCGTCCTCTGGCACTTAAAGCCCAGGTAATCGAGCAGCCCCTCCATTCTGCCCCTTCTCTATCCCCTCCGCTTTGTGGTCTTCTTGTGCCTCACCGACGGAAATTTGCATTCGTATGTTTAGATATATAAATGTGTTTTACGAGACGCAATCTGGACGTGTCAAGTTATCGCCTGAAGGAGTGTTGTTCTTAGAAAAAACCAAAAAAAGCACATCTTGGTCGGTTAAGTTGACGTATTTAAAATAAGCTTGTGTTGGGAACAGGTTTCTCGTGATCTATTATTTTTGTTTGTGATTTTTCAGCGTCTGTAACGATGTTCATACCTGCATAAGTTGCAGCTAGACAAATCTAAAAGAAAATGTGGGTATTGCTTTCCTGTATATTTGTCTTTGTGTCACTAATCCTATGAAAAAAAACCCAAACCAGCAATGCATCAACTCTACTGACAAGTGTTGCCTTTGTAGCCAAAGCTTCTGCTTTCATTAGACAACATCAGTGGAGCTGCATTAAGAAATGAGGAAGAGGGAGTGCCAAAGTCGAACCGGGGATGTTGTGGTTTGTGGGAAGCGTCTCAGCCTCCCAACCACAGGGATCCCTCGGTGTTGCTCCACTGCGGTTGAAAAACAAGTAAAACATGAGCCTGGCTCGCTCCGGCTGACGCGTTCCTTTGTTTATTTGAAGTCACTCCCAAATACATCATCATGGTCCCATAAATACTCAACGAGGCACCCGCGTGTGTTGATCTACAGCTGAAGATAGTCCCAGATAAACGCAGCATTTACTCCTCCTTCAGTAGAAATAATAGCACCCAGTGATTTTAGGTAATTGAAACTTTATATTTACAACTGATTTTTATAGATTTGCATCTTTAGTAGGACTGAAGCCACCAACAGAGGAGGAAAGTCCTAAGAGATGGACGAACAAATGACGGGTCTGCTCATGGTATTCGCTGAAAATATAGAATATAGAGTAACACAAGAGTCACATATTAGCTGTAGAAGATGAATATTGACCTGCAGCCAGAACTGTAAGCTCTGAACATCATGTGAAAGCTACAGCGGATGAATGTAAAACAACCGACTATCGACCCAACCAATCATCAGATCTGATATTCAGCATTTTTCTCCCAGTATTTTCTCACCTATTCTCAACAAAATCAAATCAAAAAACGGTGCTATTGTCACTCAGATGCAGCCGCCTCTCCCTAAAACCTCTGTCAGACCCTTTCTGTTAATCTGACTGTAACTAAACGTGTCGGCTTCATGTCTGAATGAGCTCACTTTTCCCTAAAAACTTGCGCCGGCAATCTGCACTGGGTCGGACCTCGTGACATTTCCTTATCATGTTCAACACAGCACAAGTCTGAACTGCATGCAGTCCCATTAACAGATGGACATGCACAAGCGATGCACTTTGAGCTGTGTAAAGTGGTTTTTAGGGGGAAGGCTGTTTTTGATTTTCAGCACCAATATTGGTCCAAAAAACATCACAGAGAGCACAAAAAACACCTCACTCATTCACTTTGCTCTACAGCTTCACATCTGTTAGGCTACAAACTGAAAACACAACTTTAATGTGATTAAAAACAGACACTTTGAATAATAATACTCACCAGAATGAGTGTAATCTGCGTTAACAAGAGCTGAAGTTTACTTTCGTGCGTCCGGTTGTTTGTAGGAATCTTCTGAGTTTATAAAAAAAAGCAGGAGAATCCATAAGAGTTGCGCGAATTTACGCATTTGAAACAAAAGAACAACCGAGCTGAAAACTTTATTTAACAAATAAATGATCCCCGACGTGGAGAGCGGATCGATCCCGGTCACACTTGAACAGCAAGTCGCGCTTTGTGCTTTCCTTCACCTCAGACAGGTGAGCTGTCACAGTTTATAAGCTGATGTTAGATCAGATTGGGGATGTCTTTATTTCATTGATGGTTAAGCAGTCGTCCGATGAGCATCACACATGAGCAGAAGTTTCAGTGAATAAAGCAGTTATAAATAAACGAGGCAATTAGTTATTTGGGAAGTTTAATAAGCTTGCTGGTAATTTAGTTTAGATTTAGTCTGTTGTTTATTGATGCATTTGTTGTGTGCGGCTCTCGGTCACTGTGGTGGGAATGTCTGAATGAAGTAGCAATAATGGAAACGTGGACGACAGAATGCCATCACTACAACAGATCCATGAAGCAGCAATGTTATGAACTCCATGTCTCGCCCACAGCACTAAGTCATTGGTCACACTTTACAAGTAATAGCCCGTAAACACTGAAGGATAAATGTTGAAAAGCTCTTTTTTTTTAAATGAAGCATCTGTAGAACATTAATACACAAAAAAAAAACCTTTGTGTTGGAGTTTCTTCTGGAGATGATCTTCACTTTTAACTCACTTACTGGCTCTAAGAAAACTCTATCAGTCGATGCCTATTTTCAGCCTTCGGGGATTATTCGTCACAAGTTGCACTCATGTGAGATCTTGTGTTTGCTCGTGTCGTCTTTACCGAACTGCTGTCTGCTCCACAGGTCTCTCCAGACGAGCCACGGTCGTGAGCCGCGGTTGGCTGCTGGACACGGTCGCGACCTACACCCTCCAAAACTTCAACAACTACACGACGTGAGCCGAGGAACACGACACTCAGTCCTCTCATGACCACTTTTACCACTTTTAATGTCCAGTTCTTAAACCAGTCCAGTTCTGTGTGTATTGTATAATCTGATGTATATAAAGTTTAATCAATGGAAGATGAATGAATCAAGTCTTTTTTGATCTACCATGATGACGTACAAAAACCAACAAAGCAGCAGGTCTTTTTTTTATATCAGGTCAAAACAAACAGCATTTCATAATGATTTAAATACTATAAACATATGAGATCATTTGCTGACTTACTGCACAAAGCATGAGAAATTGTAAAAAATACCTATGAGAGGACATTTAAAACTGCTGTTTAGGTGGTAACGCATTCTCCCAACACTCCTCCATGGGGGGTTTAGAAAAGAACCATTTACAATATTCCCTACTTCATGTCTTTTTCTGTTTTAATGAGCCTTTTCTCATCCCTGTTCCGCGGCGTTCCTACCGATGTGCCACCGTTATTGTTATTTCCGAATCCCTCGTCAGCTTTCAGGGAATCCGTAGGTTTTCTGAACATGTAGTGCATGCTGCAACATGTTCTGCACGGGGCTTTTTCTTGAATTATTGAACAGCCTCGGTGTAGGAATAAAATGCAACAGAGCAGATTTACAGAACCAGGTCGTATGAAGGCAGAGAAATGACCCCTCGGTGTGCATCACTTATCCCATGTAACCTGGAGGAGATGTGTCAGATTGGACCACATTAAAATGCTGCTGCAACACGTCTGTGTGCCGAGGTTTGTAAGCAAGAGGCCCGTGGCAAAGGTAAACGGAAAGGTGCTGGAATTAAGGCAGTAAATCGTGGTTATTTTCTGCTGATTATTTTTTTCATTTCAGTTCGTCGCTGGGTTTTAAACTTGCCTTTACGCTTTATGTCAAATGACGCTTTGATTGCATCGCCGTCTATCACCGTCTAAATGTGAATGGAAATGACTACAAACACGGTGCCCACGTTACTCCAGAAGCCGGTGGATGTGAAGATGAATCTGTGGAGGCGCTAAATAGGAACAAATTCAATTTCTGGTTTAACAGTTTAGTCTTGCTGGCGTCCAAAACAAATGAACAAACTCAATTTCGCTGCTGCAGTAAATGAAACTTTCTGACCTGACCTCGTTTTGTAAGGCAGCGTTCTAACTGGCTAATTTGCCTTCTTGTTTTCAAAAACATTCACTTCCTTCTTGACCAGTAACTGAGGACTTTTAGTGTCAAATCTACTGAAGTGACACTCTCGTAGATTAATCGTAGCAACTGGACTTACTTGAGTTCCTTGAAGATGTTCCACCTCTCATCCAAGAGGCTTCATCAGCTCTGACTGACTAGTTGGGAGTTCCAGATACTGGTATCCTAAAGGAGCCATTAACACCTGAGTTTGGGTTTCAATTGGCGGTTTGTTGCTCCTCCCCCTCTCTATGTGGGTCGTTAGTAATGTACAGATGTTGGCCTGCAGGGAGGACAGATGGTTCAAGAGAGGGGTGAAAGAAGCCATCTAACTCAACAGAGGTGGAGGTCTGAGGCATCACCTCTCACCTGTTTACAGTTCAGTCCTAAGATCTCTCCCCAGGAAGATGAAACCACATCCACACCTCGCCACAAAAGACCCTAACGAACCCCTTTGTGTCAGGAGGAGCACTAACGACCCACATAACGAGGGGGAGGAGCAACAAACCCCCAATTGAAACTCAGCTGTTAATGGCTCCTTTAGGATGTAAGTATCTGGAACTCCCAACTAGTCAGTCAGAAGTGATGAAGCCTCTTGGATGAAACGTCTTCAAGGAACTCAAGCAAGTCCAGTTGCTACCATTAATCTACCAGAATAACCACGACCTGGAGAATCTTCCCAGACGTACTGAAGCAATACTGTGAAGCCACACGTTTTCCAGTCAGTGTGAAACCTTGAAAGGTTTGGATGACATTTTATAGACAGCAGCTGATTACGTTGCTATGATAAACTGAGATCTACTGTTTGATGGTGGAGTTTTTCAATTTTAATTTTGAAGTAGTGAAACTGAACCCATGTCTTGTACGTCTGTTCTCGAATTGTTCAAAGCAAACAAGGAGTGCAGGGAGAGTACTTCCATGCTGCATTTTGATTAATGTGCGACTGCTTCTGCTTTCAGGCCATTAATAACAAATCAAGGGCCGGCCAAACATAACCGTATATATGAAAATAAAACAGATGCATTTCACTTAAATCGAGCAGTGAATGCAGCACAGATATAGTTCTGAGGAGACCCATCTGTCTTCCCATTGTAAATCCGGTTTGTGTGAGCTTCTCTGCTCCATCCTCATCACTCTTGCTTCACCAGCTTCCCTTCCACCTCTGTTTTCTATATTTTATTGCAGGATCATTTTCCAGGGGTGAAATTCAGTCTAGCTTAAAATAGGGGTGGGATTCAAGCTCCCAAACGCTGTGTGCTAATGTCAGCAAATTCCATTCTCATATTAAATTAGCAGAGTTCATTATATATTAAAATTACAAGGGTTTTACGAGGCTTTATGGCCTGTCTGTGTATACCAAAATAGCACTCTTGGCTCAGCTGATAATGATAGATAGAGATATTTATTTAATACAAGACAATATACAAACAACTGATTTGAGACCGTCTTAGTAAAAGGAAAGTTAGTTGACTGGTCAGCTATGCATTATTTAGTATTTTGTTCAATGTTTTTTTTTGACTTTCTTTCTTTCTTGAGTAGGATGAGAAGATGGATATTACATCCATCCATTATCTATACATCGCTTAATCCTCACTAGGGTCGCAGGGGGGCTGGAGTCTATCCCAGCTGACTCAGGGTGAAGACAGGTTCACCTGGACAGGTAACCAGTCTATCACAGGGCTACACTTAGAGACAGACAACCAAGCACACTCACATTCACACCTACGGACAATTTAGAA